TGAATTCCGTCTCTCTTCCCTATTGCAATAGTCTTGATAAAGTCTTCCTTACTGTTTTAACAAATGTTAAAATATTTTTTCTCTAGTAGTCAAGGCCCAAGCTCTGCAGCACTGAGAATGGGGAAATGGCCATGAGATATGTAGGGAGCTGAGAACTAATGAACTTGGCCCTGTAGAGAGCGGGGCTGAGGTTCTCTGTGGCTGAGCCCATGCGAGCAGGGAGGACTCTCACAAGGGAAACCTGTATGCCTGACAGAAGCAGAGGACCAGGGACAGTTGCAACCTGAAAGACGAGCCACTGAACACGTAGGGCCCAGGACAGCCCTCCCTCCATGCCCACCCCTCATCTCTATTTTCCACATAGTACGTACACCTCCACTTTCCTATACTGCTTGCGGAGTCGGGCACAGCGTCTCCTCACAAAAGGCACTTCTCACCAACCACAGCAAGAGAGAGACCCAAAATCAGCCTTCATTTGATTCAGGAAAATGATGTTATACTCCTTACACTGCATGTTGGGCAGTGTATTTACACTGGCTGTGTGTGAACATGTACCCGTGTTATGTGGTTCTCTGTTTAACATCCAGTTTCTCTCCGCAAGAGAACTGAAGCAATTCTTTTCTGGGTGTGGCTCAGGGACATGGCTCTACCCTGGTCCATACTTCTTTCATTGTGTCACTGGCTGATGCTCTTCTGTTACATGTTCCCTTCTGTATCCCATACCATTTATATTGCATTTTTCCACTAATGCAGCTATCGACCAGATAAGAACTCCTTGATTCCAGTTATCCAGATTGCTATGAAGTTACATGCCTGTAGCCCAGATGTTAGGGGAGGTTCTTTTTATTCTTTTTTTTTTTTTTTGTAATTTTTTTATGTCTTTATTTTATTTTGAGAGAGACAGAGAGAGAGGGAGAGGGAGACACAGAATCTGAATCAGAGCTGTCAGCACAGAGCCTGACACAGGGCTCAAACCTACAGACTGTGGGATCATGAGCTGAGCCAAAGTCAGATGCTTAGCTGAGTGAGCCCCAGGCACCCTGGTTCTTTTTATTCTTAAAATCAAGTTAAATCCTCAGTGTAGCAGTCACACAACTATACATAACCAAAGCCTTTCCCAAGATTTAGACAAAATCTCCGAGGGCTTACATGCTTAGAGTGTCTTCTGCCTGCCGGTTTCTTCTTCTTCCCAGACATGTTTCATATGGTCTCTGTCCTGCACCATGAGAAATACTCTTCCCACACATGCTCTTCCCACACACGCAATAAAATTCACTCAAACCCAGCATTCATGAGCCCAACTGACTTTAAGGAATAACTGGGGTTACAGGGGTGAGAAAACATAAGAAAACCAACATTCCTGCTCCCCCACGTCTGCCATCAGGCAATGCCCTCCCTCTAACTCTTTTATCTGCTTTCCTCCTCTCCTTCCTCTTCTAGTTTCTCTACAGGTCAAGCAATGCATCTGTCTCTGATGCCTACCCCCAAACTTATTTAGTCAAACCTATCAAATTTCTCATTCAATTGTGGCCTTCCATTTAGTAAGACCCTCACTCCCTGGAAAGAAATTAGAGAAACAAATAGCCATGTGTGGGGTGGTGTGTGCATGTGTGTGTGCACATGCGTGTCCACACGCATGTGTGCACATGCATGTATTCATCCCACACATGATGAGACACCCAGATCTTTCATAGTATCTCCAGATCCAAGTTCTTGCTTCTATCAAATTCCCCTTCTCTGCATTTCATCTCTAATAGTATCCTTTTGTATCACCCCAAATCACCTCAAGCCTCTCAAATACTATTTATTTTCGGTTGTGTACAGGGCATCCTGCTATGCTGACCACAAAGAATAGGGGACTGATATTACTGCAGCTCAACCAACAAAAGTTAATACAAGACGTCCTTGTCCATACAAATCCTTTGGCCATTGTAATGGGCAAGACAATTCCAAATACGGTTGAGGATGTGAAGCAAATGGAATGTTCATACACTGCAGCTGGTCGTGTCCTTGCTGATGTCCACTTACAACACTGCTTGGCACTGTTTCCAAAAGCTGAACACACACAAAGTTGTTGGTTCTGCAACTCCACTTCTAGGCACACACAGAACAGATACACATACATGTTTTCACCGTGAGGTGTGTAGAATAATGTTCATAGCAGCACCGACCCTAATAGCCAAACTGGAAACAACCCAAAGGCCATCGCGAGTAGAACAGATAAATAATCAGCGGTATAGTTACACAGTGGGAGACTATACAGAAATACAAGTTGATGAAACACAACCACATACAATATGGAGGGACCAAATGAACATATCCAGTGAAAGAAGCCAGGCACAGGAGAGTACGTACCATAGGAGTCCATTTGTATAAAGTTCCAAAAGGCCCATACCAATGCACGGTGTTGGAAATCAGGATATTGATTACTACTGGATGAATGACTCTGTTACGGAATCTGGTTGGGATCACCCAGCGCAAGAACCAAGCGGCACTCGGAGATCTTGGAAGGCAGGAGGTTTATTTTACACCAGTGGGCTCAGAGGAGTCACTCTCCAGAGGTCTGAGCCCCAAGCATTAGCAGAGGGAACAATTTATAGCCTGTTACCTCCGCCATCCTCATTAATCAGGGAGAAGTGTTTTCTTATTAGTCCTGTAGGCCATCTTACAACAGATTTTCCCTATCAACTCAAATTGGGCATGAGAATGGATTCTGGAATTCTGGAGTGTACCATTTCTTGATCCGAGTGCTAGTTACACATATATATTCACTTTATGAAAACTAAGCTATATACACATGACTTGTGTACCTTATGTATGTGACCAAAGTGTTGACAGCAGACCTGTACTCTTTTTATCCCAGACCTAGATCTGTCTGGGAGGATTTTAGGTTTGCTTTCGTCCAGCACTTGAATGGCAAATGAATGGCACAGCCCCTTCAACATGTTCCAAGATAAATTTGGAATCTTGAGTCCCAGGGCCAGACATGTGTTTTGTAATGCTGTGGAAATCTCTGATCTGTGGCAGAGCACATGAGCTGAGAGACCTGAGAATTGTAGGCCTACATAACAAGTGGGAAACCAAGAGAGAAGTTTCTTTGCATAAAGACAAATTCCAATGACCATGGCCTCATCACCAGCAATCATACACACTCTCTAGGTGGTTGAGGAGGGACCCAAGTATCTATGCACTTGGGCAATTGATAGGCCTCCCTTGAAACAGATGGGTTGTGGGGCACCTGGGTGGCTCAGCTGGTTAAACATCCTACTTCAACTCAGGTCATGATCTTACAGTTTGTGAGTTCAAGTCCCGTGTCAGGCTCTGTGCTGACAGCTCAGAGCCTGGAGACTGCTTCGGATTCTGTGTCTCCCTCTCTCTCTGACCCTCCCCTGCTCACACTCTGTTTCTCTCTTTCTCAAAAATGAATAAACATTAAAAAAAAATTAAAGACATTCCAAATTCACCCATGATCTGGCACCTCAGTTACATACACGTTATCTCCAGTTACTTCTGTTTCTTAGTATCTCAAACTCTGATGAAGTATTAAAACAAAAGGAATAGAGCTCTCCTACCACACTGCTCATAGGCACGCCAGCGGCCACCATCACACCTCCAGGAAGGACTTCTCTCTGGACTCACTCTCGCTCTGCACTCTGTCTTCCTGCATCACCGCGATAGTGATGGCAGATGCTCTGTGGTCAATCCTAACTTTTCAGTATTTGGATGTTCTGTTTTGTTCTGTTGTCATAACGTTAACCTTCCCCCTGGCCTTGGCTTTTGCTTGTTCAACAGTCTCATGCCCTCTTGCACTTAACTTCTGCAAATCTTATTTGACCTAAGATCTCAGTAGTAGGAGCCCTGTCTCACCCCCATATCATGAGGAAAAGGGGTTTGATAGTCTCAGAAACACCACAGGATCTCATGCAAATATTTCTGAGACCACCACCTGAATTATCAAAGTTGAACATTCTCGTGCCTGATGCTCATTTCAGTGCTCAGTGACCGAGTACCACTGATACTCAAATACCTCATTCTTGGAGTAGGGAAATAGGACTTAAAAGTCACAACTGCTGCCAGACAGCAACTTAGCATCTAATGAGAATCATAATGCAGAACCATGATGCAGATTAGGGCAGTATTCAAACGATAGACTCCCCCATAGCAAAACCTTACAATGGTAACATTTGTGCCTTCTGCCACACACTTCTTCCTACGGTGATTCTGAAACACTCACAATGATAAAGATACATTTCCAATCATTCCCACAAACAGTGCAGGAGAAATTAAGATTTAATTATGACTAGGGCGTCTGGGTGGCTCAGTCAGTTAAGTATCCAACTTGAGCTCAGGTCATGATCTTGTGGTTCATGAGTTTGAGCCCCACATCTGGCTCTGTGCTGATAGCTTGGAGCCTGGAACCTGCTTCAGATTCTGTGTATCCCCACTGTCTCTCAGCTCTTCCTCTACCTGTGCTCTCTCTCTCTCAAAAATAAATTAACAATAAAAAAAGATTTAATTATGACTATGGTTATTGTATCTTGAATTCAAAACCTTGGACTTCAGAAATAATGGAGTTGGAGGTAATATTTGGATATTTTGTTTTTGCTTCCTCTTGCTCTTATGAAAAAAGCAAGTCATCTTCTAGAAAGGTACTGGAGGAACCTTCTATGACAAAATAAGTCTTCTTCCAGAAGACCTACAAATACAGAGAACAAACTTGATGGAGAGAGAGGGTGGGGGTGGGAGATACAGGCTTTTAGTTATAGAATAAATAAGTCACAGGAATAAAAGGATAGGACAGGGAAAATTATCAATGATATTGTAATAACAATGTATGGTGACAGATGGTAGCTACACTTGTGGTGAGCACACCATAACATACAGAAATGTTAAATCACTACATGGTACACCTGAAACTAATATAATATTGTGTCAGCCATACTCAAAAAAGATTGAAGAATTTAACTAAAAAAAGACATGAACCTTCAAAATGTGTAACTTTTCTTTACCCACCTGTGCAATAAGCATCCTTTTACACTAAAAGGAAAAGAAAATAAAATAGATCTATTACACATTTTAAAAGGAGGTTTCTTAAGTTGCCCCATTTCACATGGACAAAGTGTGAAACTGCAGAACTGAAATTCAGGTTCTGACTTGACCCTGACAATGGATATTACTGGAAATAGAAACATCGCTGGGACCCGTTCAAAGAACTTTGCCTTCACAGTGTTTAAAACTGAAATACAAGAAACTGTCTCCAAAATAATCAGATATGTGCAAAACCAAGTCCTTAAATAACATCGGGGAGATTATAAAAGTTTAAGAACGTTCACATTCATGTGGCTTGTAAAGGTGCACTTTCCACAAAGAGCTGTATAGCTCAAAAGCATTGAATTCTGCAGGGGAGGCTCCTTCATTCCATGAGTTGGGAGAATTTCTTTCCTCTCACGGGTTCCCAGGGCTCTTCTCATAAAGAGCAGCCACTGTGAAGACTGCTATGAGGCAGTTTCCCCCTCTTCACATATGGGGCACGAAGAACAACACAGAAGAATGAGAGTTGGAAAGTTTCTTTCAAAGACATCCCTGTAGAAAACATGACTGTCGGAGTAGTTTTAAACTTTAAAGTTTGAAAAGCCTGTGACCTTTACACCGTTTCCAAGAGTCAGCAGCTCTAAAGGAAGGTGTTCACCTTCAGTGACTCCAAACAGGATTTCCTTTTGCGATAATTTGGCAAGATGGTCCTCTGGGTTAGCCTTCCATTCAGGTCACCAGGTCTCTGCAATCTCAGTGAGAACCTGCAGCAGCTCGGCGAATGTAGGGCGGCCTTTGGGCTTCTGGAAAAGGGAAATAAAGATGGTCAGCTCAGCCTAAAATTCACTCAGATAGCAGCTCTGGAACTTGCTGGCAGGCCCCTGGACCTAGGCTTTTTCTCCGCAAATGGAAGAGAATGAAACCTTGGCGGGTGCACAGGGCATGACTGGTAGTTGAATGAAGCATGAGTGAAAATAAAGAGTAGAGAGTGCTGCAAAAATAAAACAGCCTGACCTGCAAACACCAGCCACAGTTGGCTATTTAAATTCAAACTGATTAAAATGAAATATATCTTTGAATTCAATTCTCAGTCACACTGGCCACCTTTCAATTCTTCAACAGCCAGGCATGGGTAATATATTGGAGAGGGCAGACATAACACATTGTCCCACCGGACAGCACTGCCCTAGAGATCTTTTTGGATGACTTGGTGTGCATGGGGTAAAAAAAAGAGCTGGGACGGGGCACTTGGCTGGCTCAGACGGTTAAGCATCCCTCTTCAGCTTAGGTCCGATCTCTCAGTTCGTGTGTTTGAGACTCGCATCAGGCTCTGTGCTGACAGCTCAGAGCCTGGAGCCTGCTTCAGATTCCGTGTCTCCCTCTCTTTCTCTCTGCCCCTCCCCCACTCATGCTCTGTCTCTCTCTAACTCTCTCAAAAATAAACAAACATTTAAAAAAAACTGAAAAAACAAAGAGCTGGGAGAAGATGGGCATCCAGAGTACCAGGCTATCATACTCTGCCCCAGGTATTTACTACATTTGATCCCCTGTAGAAGGAAAGATTTCAGTCAGAAAGCACATGCCATGTTTTCATACAGGACTTTGCAGTTCCTGGGGCACAGACTGTTAAGGCTCAGTCAACAGAATCCATGGTCATGGAGACAATCTTTCCTATTTCACCATGGGACGTGGTTTGGCTTTGGCTCCAGGAGGAAGAAAAGAAGACACTGTTGGCATCTTTTGAGGTCCATGGGAAACAGAACGCCTCGTGGTAGCCACATTCTCACAGAGATCGCTGGCAGCCAGGGTCATGCAGAGACACCACTCTCAGTGCTTTATAAACAGATGGCATCAATAAAAAGGACCAAGCAGAAGGATATGGAAGCACATGTGCAAGTTCTCCTGGAGATTCCAGGAATAATTTGTGGAGCTGTTGGAGGAGGTTGACATGCTGCCGGTAGTAGACCTATGAAACAGTATGTGTGTATCGGGGTGCGTGTGTATCGGTACTGACATAATCACATTTGAATTTAAAGGGCCCTAAGACTTGGGGCATTTAGATTACATTAAAAAGTTGTAGGTAAATCACCTTTTGCAAACACATAAATCAGCATAACCAAAAACATTGTTTCAATCAATGTTCTAACTACATTTGAGACTGACATCATTTACTCGGTCTTCCTGTCCGCCTCTGATTTACTCTCCTGTTTCCTCTCCACAGATAAATAAAATCTCAGTAAGTGTTATATTTTTTACACATGTACACATATATTGTTCCAGATACAATTTATGCTTCTGAGCTATTTACACTATTATTGCAGAGAGGCTCTTAAGAGAGCCATTCACTACTAATAGCTCATTTAACATTTTCCTATGTTTTCCAAGATTCCTTGCAGAGCAGTTCATCATAGGCATAACATTTTCACACATCGAGGATCTTTATAAGATTAATACATCTCTGGAATGTGAACAACTACATTGCTCTTGAAATACTGAGTTTTTCAGTGACTGTGGGTTGCAAAGCAAGGGATTTCTTCTTCAGCCAGGAGAAAACTCGCTCACCTGCGGTTTTGCTGGAGTAACCCTGTCAGCTGGATAGAGAAAGCTGTCAGAAATCACAGGGAAGTCTGACATGAAGGAGACGGGTGTGCTGCGTTTGTGCACAGAAAAGATAGAAGATCCCTGTTTATTTTTAAGCTCAGCATTTTAAGAAAAAGAAAAACTGGATCCCCACCCCTCACCCCCCAGAGAGAATTTCCTGAGTAGAAGTTCTTGACACACTTTCTGTCTTGATTCCTACTCTGGTTTCATCTCTCTATTGGGAGTCTTGAGTGCCAAAAAAGAGATGAAACCTATTACTGTCAGCCTGCGGAAAGCAAGACAAATTACAGGCGACTGAAGTAAATAAAAACACCCTCCTTCTCCTTCAATGTGGAAGTTTACCAAACCTGAGTCCACCCACCAGTTCTTAAAGGAGTAAAACACCTCATCACTTAAGTTCCCGCAGCATCAAGAGTTTCTGCAAGAACCAATCTGAGAAAAATAAGCCTTGAAAAATGCACTGGATTCCTCAGATGAAAGGCTGCTGCTAAAAACAAAATGGATTAATGACCTCGTAGTGGCAGTTTCAGGTAGAAACAGTACTTCTGGGGGCGCCTGGGTGCTCAGTCGGTTAAGCGTCCAACTTCCGCTCAGGTCGTGATGTTGCAGTCGGTGAGTGTGAATCCCACATCGGGCTCTGCTGACAACTCGGATTCTGTGTCTCCCTGTCTCTCTGCCCCTCCCATGCTCGTGCCCTCTCTCACTCGCTCGCTCTCTCTCTCAAAAAATAAACATTAAAAATTTTTTTCATCTAACAAAAAGAAATAGTACTTCTGGCTCTTGGGGATCATCATCAGGACTCAATCCCTCTTCCCGCCATGCTGGAGTCCTGAGCAACGCTTGTGACACCAGGGTCTGTTCTCAGACGCTGCGAATGCCGACTTCTTAGGAAAGCAGGGGACACTCACCTCATGCCAGCAACTGTACATGACTTCGTATATGGACATTGGTGCCAGTTGAGGACGGTACAGCCTGAAGCCTTTAGAAATGGCTTCCACGACTTGCAAATTTGACTTATTCTCAAAAGGCATTTTTCCTTCCGTAAAAACTTCCCACATCAAAACTCCTACACATAAAATGCATGTAAACAAGAGGTTACTTGAAACTGCAAGAACTGTTTCAAACCCCCAGGCCTCCTTTCCTCTTCCTCCTTTGAATTATAATCATTCAGGAGGAGAATGGCTCTGTCTAGGAATCAGACAATGTGTAGCTGAGTTTTTGAACAGGCCTATAATCTGAAAATATTCCAAGTGAAAACAATGCCTTTCTTTTCCATTGGTCTTGACTGCCTCCCTAGTGAAAACGAATGTTGCCAGCACTTTTGTTCCTAAGTATGCTCCTGTCGTCACACCCTGAAACCAACAAGTCTTTCTGCCATTCTATAGAAAGTGACAGAATTGGGTGAGCCTCTGCGGCCCGCTAAGACCAAGAGTTTCCCAGCTAGTCGCTGGCACGTGTTCTCCTCCTCCCACTGAAAGATTAGGCTGCTGGGGAGACCAGGATATCTAGCCAGGGCTTGGTACATAGGCAGATATTCTATAGTCATCGATCGATTGATAGATTAGTGAAACTCCTTCAATGCTCTCATTTGGACTTCATTTAACTATTCACTTATTCTACGAATATGTATTATGTACTGATTAGAGGCCAGGAGTACGCTAGAGCCAGAAGATTCTAAGAAAGAGACCAGTCTCTGTGCTCAAGAAGCTCACCGTCCAGTGGGCAGTAGAGACAAGACATCAGATAAAGCTCAGAAATTCTAACTGTTCCGCAAACACTTGAGGAGGTCTTTGTGTTTATATCCATTAATCTCACAACTTAACTGCTCTCCCGTAGAGCTTAAAATGTCACCTGCCAAGACTACCACAAGTGAGTGGAGAGCTAAAGAGATCAATGATGCAAGTTTAACCTTACAGGGACCATAAAATTCACCCCCTTCTGAGGGTGCAGATGTCTCTCCAAACCCAAGAAGCCATCTGGAAAGGTCTAGGCTAAGCAGATAGCTCATTGCACATTCATTGCCCCTTTTTGAGAATCAACTTGAAGAACAAACTCCACTGGACACGGGTCTACAGTGTCTCCCTCTCAATGAAGAACATTATACAATATAAACTCCAGTTGACGGTTCCCAAGGAGGCCAACATCTAAATTCCAGAAAATTTGAAGGTAATGGAGTAAATGAGGTAGTGTTGCTTAGTAGTTAGGCAATGAAGTGTATAATTTACGCTCAAAATTCAGTGACACCTTAAGATTTATTTTCCTTGGAAGTCTCTGTGGTGCAGAAAAGTTGGCGGAGTTTGTTTTCTAGATCAGTAGACCCTCTGTTATAGTTTTGCAGCAAGTGCTCGATGCGAAAGGAAAAGGTCCGAAAGGTAGACTTCTATAAGAAGGTGTGTGACACCACTCACCAAAGACAGCCTGGGTGTGTTTAGAACACCCAAGGTAGAAGCACTGTTGCAAGAAGAATTTTTTCAAATGCCGCATCACGTTAAAAAAATCAAACCTTAAAAAAGATTGGCCTTTTATTAAGTCAGTTGCCATCGAACGAATATCAAATTTACTCACCAAAAGACCACACATCAGATTTGCTGCTGTACTTGTTGAAATGGAAAACTTCGGGAGGGGACCACTTGACTGGGAACTTGGCACCAGACGAACTGATATATTCATCATCCAAAACGTACCTAAGGTTATTAGATTCAAAGCACCTGTGCTAAATACCTCCAGGTAAGCTTAGTTCAACCCCCCTTAGTCGACTTCAAGTTCTAAGAGAGAAAGTGTGTTACCCCAGAAATGTTCCATATACCTTCTCTTGTGAACCAAAGTGGGAAAGTATCCTATACAGTGATTCCTCCCCAAGCCAAGCCTCAATTCTGTTTATTTTGTTTCAGTTTCAGAAAACTGGAGCAATTCTTCAATCCAAAATTGGTAACCCACTGATTACCTTAGTTACAAAAATTCTTAATTCTGCAAAGGTGCTAATGCTCTAACACCCAAGGTTGTAAAAAGGAAATTAAAAAATAGGGGCACCCGGGTGGCTCAGCCCATTAGGCTGATGACCTGACATCAGCTCAAGTCATGATCTCACGGTTCGTGGATTCGAGCCCCGCATTGGGCTCTGTGCTGCTAGTGCAGAGCCTGGAGCCTACTTCGGATTCTGTGTCTCCCTCTCTCTCTTTCTTTGTCCCTCCCCCGCTCATGCTCTGTTTCTCTCTCTCTCTCAAAAAGTAAATAAACATTAAAAATAATAAATAAATAAATAAGGCAAAGAACAAATTCAAGGTTTAGGTGCCGTATTTTCTTTTTTCATACATATATGTTTTGTGAGACAGAGAAGGGGAAAATAAAAATATTGAATATAATACATGTGATGTAAAAAAATCTCCAATGTATTAAAATGGCCCTATAAGAAACCAGTAATAACTACCACCTCCTTTTAAAAACGACAAAAATAGTAAGCTTCTTTTTTTTTTTTTTTTTTTTTTTTGAGAATCCTAGGCAGGAACACTCAAGTATGGGAATCTGGAGAGAACAGATGAAAACTGAGTCATGCTGTGTAGCCCCTAAAGTGTGCAGTAGAGTATTTTTGAATTATTTACTAGTGCTTCCTCACACTCTCTTTTTTTCCCCCATATCCCCTACTTCACCCCACCTTTAAGTGCTTTATTGAGACAGAAGTCATTCTACTAAGGGAAAGAGTGGGTAATAGAAAACAAAAGGGAAAGAGCCATTTTTCATAGCTTTGGAGTTTCAAAGGTCTAAGCTTTCCAGAGAAGAGAAGGACTGAGTTGCTAACAAAATATTTGGGAGAATGGCTCATAAATAAGAGTGATATCTCACCACCACCCCCCCCCCCCCCCAACCACCACCCATCCCTCTAGAAAAAGGCCCCTGCAGCTGGCAGGTGGGAGAGAATAAAGGGAAAGGGAAGCTGTATTAGACGTTAGTGGGCAGCAGAGGCAGGGTCCTGGACCCTGCACCCACAGTGGCTGCCCGGGCCACATGGCAGGGGAATAGGTCAGCGGGATTCAAGATACTCCAGGGGTTTTCTGGGCATGGAAAATGCCAGCACCACCGCATCTTGCAGACAGAAATTTGGGCTGAATCGGCAGCCACCTGTGCAGGTGTCCAGCCAGGGACAAAACACGAGGGTGGGGGCTGCAAGGACACCAGTATCAATGGATAACAGCAAGGACCAGACATGCCGTCCCCAGTATGTGGCCCCGGGGAAACATACAGAATTTGAATCTGACCTTGAATCAGAGAGAAATCGTGAATTCACGGGGATTATGTTTTTAGCAACCTGAAGGAAAGGGGCTCACAATACAGACTGCATAGAGTTGTAGAAAATAAGATTCAATTTTCTACACCTGAGTTGTAGTCTTAAAGTCAACTACTACATTGGATGAAAGAAATACATGACGGGGGTGCCTGGGTGGCTCAGTCGGTTAAGAATCTGGCTCCTGATTTTGGCGCAGGTCATGATCTCAGAGTTCACGAGTTCAGGCCACACTGATAGTGCAGAGCCTGCTTGGGATTCTCTCTCTCCCTCTTTCTCCCTCTCTCTCTGTCCCTCTTCTGCTCTCTCTCTCAAAACATAAATAAACTAAAAAAAAAAAAAAAAAAAAGCATGACGATGACACAGAAAAATCAGAGCTAAACAAATTTATTCTTCTTTTCTTTCAGAAATATACATATGTCAGAAAAGCTTTTTTCTTAACCTTCTTATGACGATGAGTAGATTGAGAAATATTATAGATTTTAAGATATGCCTGAAAATGACCTGAAAAAATATCAGAAGAATAGTCCAAAATATCCACTGAACTCACAGCTAAAATTGGTTTATGTCCTAAAATTCAAAAGAGGGCAATAAGCCAAACCACCACATCAATACTTTCTTCACAGGAAAAAAAAAAAAATGCTAATAACATCTTCAGTTTGTCAGTAGACAGATGTAAGATTCTTTCTTATGAGTAAACAAACAAACAAACAAAATAGATATCATGTACCTCGTCATTCCAAAGTCCGATATTTTTACAATACTTGCAGCACTGACCAAACAATTCCTTGCTGCCTATAAAAAGAAGAAAGGAATCCAAGTTTGAATATAGTTTCTCTTCCAAGAGTTTCTACTCTCCTTTTCTTAGTTTATTTGGACACCCAGGCTACTTCTCTATATGAGCAGCCATTTTATTTTTATGGTGACCCCTATGAATACCATATATGACTCAATATATATGCCCTCACATGATGGATTTTAAGGATTCTTCAAAGAAATAACAAAAAAAAAGATAAAGAAATTTTAGTACTTTTTCTTTTAAAAGTTTTTAATTGTTCTCAAGAAGTAGCTTTGATAAAGTGAAAGACTAAACCAAAGAAATGTTAAGCTATGAATCCTGGCATTAAAATTAGTGTGCATTTTTTAAATTAAGTTTTTAAATTTACATCCAAGGTAGTTAGCATATGGTGCAACAGTGATTTCAGGAGTAGATTCCTTAATGCCCCTTACCCATTTAGCCCGTCCCTCCCTCCCACAACCCCTCCAGTAACCCTCTGTTTGTTCTCCATATTGAAGAGTCTCTTATGTTTCATCCCCCTCCCTGTTTTTATATTATTTTTGCTTCCCTTCCCTTATGTTTATCTCTTCTGTATCTTAAAGTCCTTACATGAGTGAAGCCATATGATATTTGTCTTTCTCTGACTAACTTCACTTAACATAATACCTTCTAGTTCCATCCACGTAGTTGCAAATGGTCAGATTTCATTCTTTAGTGTGCATTTTTAAATAATGCAGAGACAATGTATTTGATGCCAAAATAATTCATTTTCAGAGAGCTTAGTCACAGAAAATCATTGATTTGGTTATTTAGCCTCATGTATCGGTAGTTTGATAATTTTTTTTTCCTCTTTTAAGCTCCTCTGTGGGTCAGCTAGTCCAAAAACAGAAGCAAGGAACTAACAACGGCAAGCTAGGAGGAGTCAGTTTGGAAGATTTTCACAAATACTAGCAAGGATCTCAAAGCCAAACCACAAGGCGAGCCCTTGACAGGGGAAAGACTCTTGGTTAGCTGATACTTTGTAAGCGGCATGAATAAAATAGAGCACAAAACAAACCAATCAAGGAAGAAACCAAGGACAGAGGACCTGCAAGAAGCCATTGGGAACAGACAGAATGACTAAAACCATCACCCACCTGAGTTTTGAATTCTAATCCCTGTCAGAAAAGACCAGCCTGCAGAGACTAGGAAAGCAAGCTAGGTGGACTTCATGCCATATCTATCCATTCAAATATTTGCTCCATAGCTACTACGTACTGAAGACAGGGGAAAGTGCCATGAGGGATACAGAACGATAATGCAGGTATAGAGTAGCAATAGTCAGCACCGCTGAGCGCGCTATATGCCAGAGCCGGTGTAAGTGCTTAGTCGTATTAATTCATGTAATTCTCCCAACAAGCCCATAGGAGGAAGGCTCTGTAATTAACACCACTGTGCTAGTTAACGAGCTTGCCCAACATCACATAGCTAGTGAGAAACAAAGGCGAGATATTAATTAATGCAGGCAGTCTAGCTCGAGAGCAGTGGTTGTGAATCATGGCTGCACGTTAAACGCACCAGGGAAATTTTCAAAAAAACATTTATGGCTAGATTCTACCCCCAGAGATTCTGATTCAATTGACTCGGGTCATGGCCTGGGTATCGCGATGTTTTAGAAGTTCCCAGGTGATTCTAAGGCACCCCTAAATCTGAGAAAATTGTTCCGCAACCTGTGTCCCCATCCCACGGCCGCAGCTCAGAAGCCTAGGCCTTGATATCAGGGAATTTAGAAGTTAATAGTTGTATTAACAATGTAAACAATGAACTATTATAGTGAGTGGTAAATAAGAAATGCCATGGAATTCTAAGTCACCCATAAGGCTAGCAATAAGTGGGCTAAGGTCAATGAAATAACACCTTCTTTCTCTCCCCAGAAAGCTCTAGCCTGAATGATAGATAAGAAAGTCACTCTGGTCTTGAGCAATGAAGTTCAGGATTACCTCTAGGTGGCGATGTCAGGGACATCTCACAGATTCTCAAGATCTCGTTGTGGTTAATTTTTGGACTTAGAAATGAGGCATGGGAAGACAGAGAAGGAATAGCATGAATATCATGAATAAATATGGAGTGGATACAAAATGTTTTTCCAGGCAAGGTAGCAAGGCAGGAAAGCAGGGCTATTAGCATTTAGGGCAAGACAAGCGCTATTTTAATTTTAATTAATTAATTAATTAATATTTTTTTAGGATGTAATGTTCCCAGTATTACAGAACAGAATGATTTAGCATTTCTAGTCCCCCTCAACAGGGCCAGCAATGCCACTGCGATACTGTTACAACCAAACCCCCTCCACATGGTGCAGTTTCATCCCTGGCTGTTCTTTACTACTCTATCTCCAGTGCCTGGCCTGTGCCTGGCACATATCAACGTTCAATCTGTATTTGATCATTGGTTGAAAAGAAGAAAAGTGGAAGTAACGGAAGAAGACAACGAAGGCGAGAGGAAAGAAAAGTAAATTCGTTTTGCGTGGTTGATTAGTGTGGCAGTTCATTAGTTCAAGGCATATTTAGAGCAACACCTTCCTTGGCTACAGCATTATTGGGTAATTAAAAATAAAGCCACATGTCCCAGAGAATTACATGAACAGGAAAGTGTTTAGAAATTAAGCCAATAAGGGGCCACCTGGGTGACTCAGTGGTTGAGCCTCCGACTTTGGCTCAGGTCATGATCTCGTGGTCTATGAGTTTGAGCCCCGGGTCAGACTCTGTGCTGACAGCTCAGAGCCTGGAGCCTGCTTCCGATTCTGTGTCTCCCTCTCTCTGCCCCTCCCCTGCTTGTGCTCTGTCTCTCTCTGCCTCTCAAAAATAAGTAAACATTTTTTAAAAGAAAGAAATTAAGTCAAAGGTATTTTATTTAAAATATTGACAGTCCTTGGGGGCGCCTGGGTGGCTCAGTTGATTAAGCATCCAACTTCTGATTTGGGGCCGAGGTCATGATCTCAGGGTTCATGGGTTCCAGGCCAGCATGGTTCTATGCACTGACAACACGGAACTTACTTGGGATTCTCTCTCTCCCTCTCTCTCTGCCCCACCCCCACTGATGTTTTCTCTCTATATAAAAATAAATAAAGACAAATAAATATACAAAACTAAACACTGAAAGTCCTCGACTGTCCTGTTCTTCTGAAATGCAACACATAAAAACCCGGTTGAGCCTGCATGGTACTCACTAAATCCCTATGAATAAAGCAGTTCCTCTCCAGGTACTCCATTCCTTCACAGACGTCCTCGCACATGCTCAGTAGCATTTCCTTCCGCAGCGCTCCCCTTCTCTCTCGGAGGTAGCTCAGCAGGCAGCCGTTCTCCATGAACTCGGTCACAATGTACAGGGGCTTCTGCTGAACGCACACTCCGTACAGCTGGACGAGCCTCGAATGCGATAACTTCCTGTGGAAGAAAAGCACACACCCATGAGCAGATTAGTTTTGCCATTCGAAGTGCTTAGACTCGGTTGGTGAAATTTTCCAGCTCTACATTATTTTCAACATCTGAGATTCGAAAAACACCCAACCACAGAAAACCTAGAAGGTTCCTTTCCACCGTGCACGCTGAATCAGTGGGGTCAAGAGGTCAAGGGGTACTTCCCAAGTCCCTACAGAATATTATGGGCTCCATATTCTGCTTTTTTCTGCTTTCCATCCTGTAAGCCTCTTGCTTCCCCATTGCTACTTCTCCTTGCTTAGGTCTGCACAGAGTTCCCGTTCCTATATGTTTCAACTTTTCTAACTGCAGCTGCTCAGACAAAAATGCCAGACAGGTCACACAAGTAGCTTGGGCCGAGTTGTGACACAAATCCAAGCATGACTGCTCCAAAATCCATGTTCTTTCCGTGACACCAGAATGTTGCACAAAATTTATCTGGGTGTCGCTTATACTTACGTCATCACTTTAGCCTCTTCAATGAAGTCCTCTTCAGACATGGCGCCTTCGCTGATGGCCTTGATAGCTACCTGGATGTGTGCTCGCCATTGCCCTAAATGAACGACCCCAAACTGCCCGCTTCCAATCTCCTTCACAAACGCCAACTCAGCGGGATCTATCTCCCACTTTTCTAAAAAAGTAAAATATCCATGTTACAAGTAGGGGACATTTTAAAAAATTTTTGTTAATGTTTATTTTTAAATTTTTTTTAATGTTTTATTTATTTCTGGAGAGAGAGAGAGAGAGAGAGACAGCGTGAGCAGGGGAGGGTCAGAGAGAGAGGGAGTCACAGACTGAAACAGGCTCCAGGCTCTGAGCTGGCAGTCAGTACGGAGCCCGACGCGGGGCTCGAACCCACGAACCGCGAGATCATGACCTAAGCGAAAGTCGGACGTTTAACCGACTAAGCCACCCAGGCGCCCCTGTTAATGTTTATTTTTGAGAGAGAGAGAGAGAGGGTGAGGGAGGGAGGGGCAGAGAGAAAGGGAGACACAGAATCCAAAGCAGTCTCTAGGCTCTGAGCTGTCAGCACAGAGCCCCACTCGGGGCTCAAACCCATGAACCGCAAGATCATGGCCCGAGCGAAGTCAAACACTCAATTGACTGAGCCACCCAGGTGCCCTAAAGCAGGGGACATTTTTAGAGCTAGAAAAGATTTAGGAATGATCTCGACCTATTCTATTCATTTACAAAGAGGTTAAACATTTTATAAAAGAGTAGAACAGAACAGTAACCGTTTTTAATACCCTCATTGTGATTTACATGTGTAATTTCAGAATTCAAGCTTCAAGATACAAACTTGACTTACTTAAAGAGGAATTATGGATATCAAAACATACTTTCTCTTCCCAGAGGGACCCAGGATGAAATGCAACACTGCCCTTCTAAACCAAACCCACCAAAGCTACACTTGAGCTCTAAAATATGTATGTCCCCATCTGGTTTTGTCCTGCTGAGTACACTTGCGAAGCCCAGAACATGTGGTCCCCGCCCCCCAGCCATTTCACTTCCGTCGATTGGTCCTCTGCCCACTATCACCCCTGAAGGGCTTTTCTGCCTTAGTGTTTTCTCCTTAGGGAAGAGTCTAACAAATTCATCCAATAAATATGTCTAATGTTAGGATTCTAAGTCGCATATATCTAAGTCTATGTTAGAAGTAACATTTGTGGTACAGTATATTTGACTTCTGTAGAAGTAAAGGAGGACAAAAAGAATGGTATTTAAAATAATCCGCTTGAGGGGCGCCTGGGTGGCTTAGTCGGTTGAGCGTCCGACTTTCGCTCAGGTCATGATCTCGCGGTTCGTGGGTTCGGGCCCCGCGTCGGGCTCTGTGCTGACTGCCAGCTCAGAGCCTGGAGCCTGTTTCAGTCTGTGACTCCCTCTCTCTCTGACCCTTCCCTGCTCACGCTGTCTCTCTCTCTCTCCTAGAAATAAATAAAAATATTAAAAAAAATAAATAAATAAAAATAAAATAATCCGCTTGACAATCCTCGGTTTAGTATCTTCTTTTATATCGTGACACCGCCATCTGCTGGAACTTTAGAATAACGCAATTTAAAGAATTGTAAAAGGCCAGCTTTGCAACGTGCTCTCACTCCCAGTAATAGGTATGTTTTAAAACTAACATGAGAAAAAAAAATGTTTAATAAATAAAAATAACACGGGAGGATATATTCATCATCCTGATATTGGCAGGAATTTATTCAACATAATATAACCACAAAGGAAAATATTGACAAATTATACTTCATAAAAATCCTATCAAAGACACACCGTTAAGAGAGTGAAAAGGAATGGGGCACCTAGGTGGCTTAGTCAGTTGAGCATCCGACTTTGAGGTCATGATCTCACAGTTCATGAGTTTAAGACCCACATTGGACTCTGTACTGGCAGCTCAGAGCCGGGAGCCTGCTTTGGATTTTGTGTCTCCTTCTCTCTCTGCCTAATCCCTGCACTCACTCTCTTTCTCTCAAAAATAAGTAAGTGTTAAAAAAAATTTTAAAAGATAGAGTGAAAAGGAAAGCCACATATTGGGAGAAGATATTTCTAAAACATGTAACCAATAAAAAATTTGTATTCAGAATATGAAAAAAATCAGAAAAAGGCAGATAGTTCTATGTCTAAGGTTTAAAAAACTTGAATAGAGTATTCTCTAACAAAAGGGTATACCCAAATGGCCAATAAGTTGATCAAAATAATTATTCATCAGGGAAATGCAAATTTAAACCACAATATACTACTACACCTGCCAGATTGGCTAAAGTGAAAACCAAAGTATCCATGAGAATACTAAACATTAGTGAGGGCAAAGGTGTGGAGCACCTGGCGCTCCCAAACGCTATTGATTGAAGTGTGGTTTGGTATAAGCTGTTTGGAAAACTAACTAAATCTGAGTGTGTACATACTCTATGACCCAGTAATTCCACTCTTAAATATATATCCAACATTATTGGAGCTTCAGTGAGTGCTGAACTTCATCAAAGTAGATGCAATATGTTCACAATGATATTATTTATGAGATAAAAACTGGTTACAAGCCAAAGAGTCATCTAAAGATGGATGGGTAAGTCCACTGTGGCATAGTCATGCATTGTCACACCACACCAATGTCACACTACCTCACAGTGGAGATGAGCCAACCACACCCAATACCATGGATGAAGAGGAAGAAGCCAATAATGTCTTATTCCATTTAGATAAAGTAGTCAAAACCAGGCAAAACTAATTGAGCTTTAGTTATGAGTTGTGCACTGTTCTATATGTTAAAAAATTGAGACATTTATTTTTTTTATTAAATAGGACCATGCTTAACCTAAATAAATTGCTAATGGCACATAACTTTTATTATATACATTGTATTTAGGGGCAGAAGAATCACCTAGGCATCTGTGATGCCCTGAAATCACTCTCCCGTATCAATGAAAAGAGAGACCCTGAGTCCTGATTACCCATTACATGATAGAATGGTGTCATCAGTTTCCCAGTATATTGATTCACACTGATGAGAGAAATGTGAGGGAATAAAGGGCCATCAAGTTACAAAGCAAAATTCTTTGGCTCTTATTTATTCTTGATAGATTTGCAAAAATACATTTCCTAGAAAATGGTTCAAATCAAACTTTCTACAAGTTCTATTTTTAAAAGGTGAAGAGGAGACAGTTAGCAGCTCTTCTTAGCAGGTCTCTTGGGAAGCAGTCATTTCCCAGCTACCCTTGTACCCAGAGAGCAGTAACTCAAACATCCAAATAAAAAGAATTCTAATTTATCACTAGAGCGCCTGCTAATGTAAAATGAAATTTGAAGTAAAATCGAAACAGTTCTTTCCAAAGTTTAACTTGCTCTTATGAGATGCATATACTTCACTATCTCAGAAGGAGGATTTCAACTTTGAGAAGAAACCTTTCTAGGTATCTCAGAAAAGTGAAGAATTTAAAGAACGTTGAGGGTACTTGGGGGAGATTCTTTACTGGATTTGATGTTGCACTTGAGTACATGTGCATACTTTACCATAGCTAAAACCAGCCGTGGCTGGCAAACAGCTGCCCATCAGTCCAACTGGGTAGCGGAGACGGGTCATGAGACCTGGGAAGGAAGAGGAATCGGCATCTCAAGACTTGTTACTGATATAAAAGAAAAAAAAAAAAGAAGTATACTAGAAGACAGTGCCCTTCTCCCAATAAATTAGGCAAAAAAGCATTCTATATCAGTCTATTTGCTTATTTCCCCCATTTTCATAAAATAATATTTGTACATTGGACACACATTTTAAAATCCAAGAGAATTTAAACATGAAGATCTCACAAAATGTTAGCAGCCAGAGATATATCATTATCATTCTGGTCAACACCTTTGCAAAACCCTCTATATTTGCACTTGAAAGCACGTACACACACAACACGTTTCACAGAAAAGTAAAAGTTTTGCTATAAGTTTTTGCACTCAATATATCATTGGCATATGTTAATAACTATAAATAGAGCTTAAAGTTATTTCCAAAATTTCACTATTATAAAATATGCTGTCTGTTTTTGAACACAAACTTTCATGTACGTCTCAAATTATTGCCTTGGAAATTTGATTTCTTGATCAAAGCATGTATAAAAAATTGTACTAATTCATTCAACCACCAGCAGTATTTAAGTGACCCATTTCCTGACCCTAATATTCGAGATTTTTTTCTCTAAATATCATGGTTGAGTAAATGAGGCCTCTTTTGATTGGGCCCACATGGACCCAATTGGGTCCATCAATTTCATTTAGTTCAACAAGCATTAATTATTTATTCCTTCAACCAATGTTTATTTGGGGCCTGTTTGGTGCCAATCATTAGCTAACTGGTGGGAGACAGCAGTGACTAAGACAGTGATGTTCTCTGCTCCCATGGAGCTTGCATTTTAGTGGGGGAAGAGAAAATAAAGTACATGCACACACAAGAAAAAGGAGAAGATGAGGAGTAGACGCAGAGTACATAAAATAGAGCTTCTATAGAGTAGGTGCTCAGGGAAGACCCTTCTGACAAGATGACAGCTGTGCTGACATTAATCGACAAGGAACCATCTTACAGAGATTAGGAGGAAGAACATTCCAGGCAGATGGAACAGCATGTGCAAAGGCTGGAAGACAGAAACGAACTTGGCCAGTGTAAAAACAGAAAGAAGCATCACTAAGTGCTACTGTGTGCAAGACACTCTTCTAGGTAGAACTCAGAGACAGATGGTAGCTAGATTTACTGTGCTGATCACTTTGTTATTTATATAAATATTAAATCGTTATGTTACACAATTGAATATACTACTGTTTGGTAACCACACTTCAATAAAACAAGTTTCTAATAACTGAGAAGAAATAGAAGGAGGAAGAGGAGGAGGAGGTGGGAAGAGGAGGAAAGAGCTATCTCTTAGGAGAATGCAAACATTCTTGAAACCCCTACATTTCCAGCCCCTGTAACGGACAGAAGGATGATACCATCATCTGAGACAGACAACAGGAAGAGGAGCAGGTTTGGAGGGAAAGCAGTGTTTAAGATGAAGAGATCCAGTTCGTCACTGAAGTTCAGGGCCTGTGGGACTGCAAGGACCTGGGACTACCAGGCAGAAGAATTCTGCAAAGGGAAATGTCTAGGGTGAGAAGAGAAGTGATCAGGGACCGATCCCTGCAGACACCAATGTTTAAAGAAGAGTAGAAGTAAGACTCCTTGGGAAGACCTATAAGGAATGTCTGAGCTCAAGAACAAGAAAGGGCAGGGTCAAAGAATCTGGGAAGCAGGGTGTTTCAAGGGGTGACACCGTCAAATAGAGCAGAGAGGGCTGGAAAATGTAAGAACTAAAAAGCATCACCCTGTAGGTCAGTATGGGGATCACTGGTAAAGTACAGGGTGATGAACACCGAAGCCAGATTGCAGATGTTTAAAAAGTAAATGGAAGGGCGCCTGGGTGGTTCAGTCTGTTGAGCATCTGACTTTTGATTTCAGCTCAGGTCATGATGTCTGGTCATGAGATTGAGCCCCATGTCAGACTCCATGCTGGGTGTGGCACCTGCTTAAGATTCTCTCTTTCCCTCTGCCCTCTGCCCCTCCCCTGCTCATACTCTTGGCTCTCTCTTTCTCTCTCTCTCTTTCAAAAAGAAAAAAGCAAATGGAAATGAGCAAGAGGAGACCATAGATGTGGACACATTTTTCCAAAAAGCATGACTTCGAAGAGCAATGATTAAAAGAAGAACAAAAGGCCCAAGGAAGGGCTTTGGGTTGTTTGCCTTTTGAATAATAAAGTCTTATGCATGTTTCCAGGCTAAAGAGAAAAGTTCAGAGGAAATGGAAGAGATACAGGAGAAAAAGGAAGGGACATGGTGGTTGGTCCCAGCAGGAGAGGAATGGAGGCTCGGCCTGACCACTCCTGGAGGGAATGAGGTGAGGAGGGGTAAGCCTAAGGGAGCTCCTGGTCTGCTGGCTTCAGTTTTCTTTTTTTTCTTTTTTTTAAATGTTTTTATTTATTTCTAGGAGAGAGAGAGAGAGACAGCGTGAGCAGGGGAGGGTCAGAGAGAGAGAGAGAGTCACAGACTGAAACAGGCTCCAGGCTCCGAGCTGGCAGTCAGCACAGAGCCCGACACGGGGCCCGAACCCACGAACAGCAAGATCATGACCCAAGCGAAAGTCGGACGCTTAACCGACTAAGCCACCCAGGCGCCCCTGGGTTCAGTTTTCTTAATGAAGTGGACAGCTAGGGATTTGCTGACAGGGCAGTGGATAATATTGGAAAGGAGTCTTGAGGAGAATGGTAGAACTTTGAAGAGAGAGCTGGAAAGGATATTTACCAGGGACCCTGAAGACTTAGTTTAGGTTAGAGCCTTCATCAAGTTGGGGCTCTATACCACATGATCCAAATAAGGAACATAACGAGGAATTTCTTTAAGACCCTAACACCTCCCTCTAATTTCAAAGTTCTTATTTGCTAAACATTTTTATTCTGTGATTTACTACCAGTGGTTTAATGATAGTCTATCACTCTGACAGAAAGAAGTCTGTCACTCTCTTTGCACTGTCCTTACTTCTGGGAAAGAGATGGACTGTCATGAACTAAATTGACCAGAAGTCAGCATGTAGACAGGACAGTCACAGGCTCTGACTCACAGCCTTTTCTGAAACTGAGCTCTCCAAACTACCCTCCAATGATATAGCTTGTCTCTTTCTGGAGGATACACCAGTCATTTATTGCAGACTGTGGAGTCAGGGGCTTCAATGGCTCCAATTGTTTCAAAGATTTTTTGAGTTCAGATCTCAGCACAATTATTAACTATGTAATCTTAAGTACAACTCATCCCTCCATTTCCTCACCTGTAAGATCGAGAGACTAACAGAACCTATTTCGCAGGATTGTTCTGAAGATTAAATAATATTATATATCATTATATATATACATATATAATTATTAAAAATAATTTAAAAACAAATATACATGAAAGCACTCAGAGCGGGGATTGGCCCAAATTAAGTCTTGGGTAAACATCAGCTATTTCTGGGTTCCCATGTCTTTCCCTTTATCATCCTTCTTTTCTTGTTTTCTTATATCTTTTTTACTTCCTTTTCTCAACAGCAGCCATTGTTGTAAGTTTTGCTTTTCTTTTTGTTTTGTTTGATCTTTTAAAAATGATCTGCATGGAGGAGGGCCCTTGTTGGGATGAGCACTGGGTGCTGTATGGAAACCAGTCTGACAAAAAACTATTCAAGAAAAAAATAATAATAAAAAAATAAAAGTGATCTGTTTGGTATTTTATACATTATAAGTATAATAATATTAATTGACAAGGAACCATCTTATAAAGATTAGGAGGAAGAACATTCCAGGCGGATGGAACAGCATGTGCAAAGGCTGGAAGACAGAAATGAACTTTCTGTAAATTCAATTTATGTACATTCATTTATGTGCATTCAAACAAAAATACCAAACCCTAAAGCAGTCTCTAAGGCAGAAAATAAAAGTTTCCCTTGCCTCAGTGTCATTCCCCAGAGGTGAGCATTAACTTTGTAATCTGTTATAATCTTGTTAGTTTAAAAATTATTACATAAAATTTAACAGAATTTTTCTAGGCACACAACATGTTTACACTTTTTTTTACAAAAGTGGGACTATATTCTCATAGACTGCTTTGCAATTTTTCTCTCTTTACTAAACAACTTATCACTAACATCTTCTCATGTCAGCACATCCTGATCTACCTTAGTATTTTTTTTTTAACCTCACCACCTTAACCACTCTGTTGCTCAAATTTTTTCTTTGAAGGGAAGGGAAACAGGAGTATAAAGAAAAAAACCTCAGAACTGATCTCCTTATTCTAAGGGTTTCCATCTCTAGACACATATATGTCCTCCCTGGCCCCGCTCAGACTCACTGCTACTTCCTCTCTAACCAAACTCCCAGTGACCATCTAAAATATCTATGCAGACTCATCCCATAAGTGGATAAAATTTTCCTTGGATTTATTCTTGATAATTATTAATTTTTATTTATTTTTTTATGTTTATTTATTTTTGAGAGAGACAGTGTGAGCGGGGGAGGGGCAGATAGAGAGGGAGATACAGAATCTGAAGCAGGCTCCAGGCTCTGAGCTGGCTGTCAGCACAGAGCCCGACGCGGGGCTCAAACCCATGAACTGTGAGATCATGACCTGAGCCGAAGTCGGACACTTAACCAACTGAGCCACCCAGGCGCCCCACTCCTGATATTTCGAACTACTGTGATGGAAAAGTGGCCGCTTTCCAAAAGGGATTTTTTTTTTTATCAACACAACTTTTCATGAGAGAAATCTTTAAAAAGTCTGTATGACAAGAAGCCAAAACAACATGAAAAATTACAGTGGGTTCCAAATTCTATAACGTTGAGGTACGAAGATTCCTCTACGAGTTCAAAGTGGTCCCGTACAGGTTGGGTGAAGGCTGAAGGCCAGAGCTGTGATTGTAATTGTGGTGGAGCTTTCTGGAATCCTGCATCTTTCCATAGATGATAAGTTTGCAAAAATAGCAACTATTGCAAACAACACCTAGGGAAGGGGGTTCAGTGATGCCTCTGCTTTATTTAAGGCAAGTTGTAACGGAAAGGCTGCATCCTATATAATTTTTTCTGTTCTCCAAATAAGAAAGAACAGAGAATGAGATATTAAAGAGTAATTTTCTATGCAACTGAAGTTGAGAGCAAATTTATGGGGGCAAAGAGAAGGAAGCATCATTTTTCAGGATATTTGAAATTCTATTACATTCAGCCATATGTAAATTTCAGGAACAAATGTACTGAAAATTAGATTGCCTTTTGTTTCTCTGCCACCTTTCATTTTTCTAACGTGGCAGAAATGTAAAACATCAACTTACCTCTTGTCCCCTGACTACAAAAACAAAGAAGCATCAGTGAGGAGAACTGTTCAGGACACAGGTTGTATTTTAGGCTCTTACAGGGGTATTTGCTCCTGTTAAGTGCCTGAGGCCACAGATGCACTGCCTGCCTGGGGCCTGGCTCGCTGACTCTCCCAGCCTCGCTGCTCCTGACTTACCTGCTGCATTGTGTTGGTGATACCAGACCAACTCGGGAATTGATTGAAAGAGGTGTCTTTCAGCCACGTACCACTGTCCCAAGTCATTCTTTTTAATCTGATAATGTTTGATGGTAGCCTCCATATTTCTACAATCAATAAAATGTCAGTTAACAAACAAGCAAAAGATCGCTTTGGAACGAAGTCAGTTCATTAAGCAACAGGACTCCACCTCTAAAACTTTTATACTATTAACACCATACACTGCAGAGAGGGTTAGACTCAACAGGGGCCTCGCTACCCCTGGGTAAATTCCATAGCTATCTTATTGGAGTTTTAGATTCGGACATAACTTCAGCCAAAGTCGTCTAGTTGACAACTCCAGTGTCCAAAAAAAAGGAGGGCCCACTAGGGACACTTATAAGTATTTGCTGAATATCAAGTATCAGTTCAATGAGTGAATAAATGCACTTTGAGGATGTAAGGAGATAGGAAACAAAGAAGGGAAGAAAGCCGATAGAGGCTGTATTGAGCAGGTTTGCTATGAGCTGCTAGGGCTCTGGGAAGCTATGAGAGACTGTGAAACACATCTGAGAATTGTCCCACTAAAGTGCAAAGCCGCTGAGGGGCTAATCTTCCGTTCCTCGCTGATAGAGTGTCACTCCTAGGATGCTAAGTCTCAGGGACTTCCAATCTACCCATGGGGACCATGAGTTCCCACCGCCAGAGAACATCTTCAGGCAGAAAGGGAAGCTTGCTGAGTGCAGGGGAAGTCTCTACAGCTAAACGCCAAGGTACACCAACGTATAGGAGAAAAGCATCACCAGCGTCTGCTGCAACTAAGCCAACTGCCTCACGGTTGAGAAAAGGAGATGGGAGAAGTCACATAACTTATCCAAAGTCACACACAGAGCTTGTTAGGGACGCAACTTGAATGTGATTAGTTATGCTAACTTCCAGGCCAGCAATCTTCTATGCTGAGATTTCACTTTCTCCATGTGACAGTGTCTCTGGAAGACAGACTGTTATCTCTAAAGTGAACAAAATCACAATCGCTTACCTTCCAGCTCAAGGGTGCCTAGGTGGCTCCGTTGGTTAAGCGTCTGACTCTTGATTTCGGCTCAGGTCATGATCTCAGAGTTCATGAGTTTGAGCCCCACATTGGGCTCTGTGCTATTAGTACAAAATTCTTGGAATTCTCTCTCTCCTTCTCTTTCTGCCCCTCCCCCTCATGCATATGCATGTGCTCTCCTCCCCCCTCTCAAAAATAAATAAATAAACATTTTTAAAAATCCCAATTGCTTACCTTCTGGCTCTTATAAACACAGAAATTGTGTAGGATCCCAAATGTCTTGAATCTCTGACAATAAATGCCCCTTCTTTAGACTGCAAAACAAGACATTGTGTGTGCAAGTTTATTCTTCATTAGGAAGAAAGACAAACCTACATCTCAGGAACAAAATCCAAACCATACTGACTTACTATAAGTGGATAAAATTGTTTTCACAAATGTACGCAATCTTATCTCCCTTAAGTCACACTTATAACATAATTTGTAGTATATGTAAATATATATAAGTCGCATCTATATAATTGGGCCAAGAATTTGTAATGTATGAGTATTTTTACAACTTTGTGCCTGATTTTTCTAAGAAAAATTCTGCATTTGACAACCACGTTCCTCACCATTTAGTTATTTTTTGTTATATTGGTCAAAATAATAGATAAAAATAGCTGATGAATAGGAAGCACTCGAAGACAGTTTGACAGGTTGTATTTTGGAAGAAAAGGAACAACACGGCCGGTGGGGTGAGGGAAGCAGGGAGAAAGACATCTGGAAAAGTAGGTGATGGGAAAAGTAAGCAGAATCCATGGTGGGGATGGAAGGAGAATAAGCTTTGAGGGAGTCTGGAGAGAAGATCGGGGGAACCATTGTAGTTGCTACCAGAAGACAAGAGAGATGAGAAGAGAGTCGGCAGGAGAGAAGAATATCGTAAGTTTGACGTTAGGTTATGAATTGGATTCCGACTGACAGCCATCCTCTGGAAAACTCCAATACAGCGCTGTAAATTGGTTTCAAATGACTTCGAATGTTGTACTGTTTGGTTTGGGCTGTTTGTTTGGTATCGTAAAAGTTTTCACCTTTACTGAGTGTTACACTTGCGGAGAGGGAAATATCTCAGAAGCCTGCAAAAGCCGTGAAAGTTTACACTTACGAAGTGTCAATAAGTTGCTTGAGAACTGCCCAAACCAAACACCATGGTGTGACCCTCAGGGTGAACACAATACATCAAGCAGAGTCTTCTCTTCCTTCTAGATGCTTACCAGGGAACAAGCCTCATTTTCTGGTCATATGTTTAAACCAAAACTCTCGGGGCACCCGGGTGGCTCAGTCGGCTGAGTGTCTGAGTTCGGCCCAGGTCACAATCTCGTGGTTCACGAGTTCAAGCCCCCTGTTGGGCTCTGTGCTGACAGCTCAGAGCCTGGAGCCTGCTTCCCATGTCTCCCCCCCTCTCTCTGCCCCTCCCCAGTTCACTCTCTCTCCCAAAAATAAAAACATTAAAAAATTTTTAAACCAAAAAATCTCATAACCATTTAAAAGAATAAATATCGGGGCGCCTGGGTGGCTTAGTCGGTTAAGCGTCCGACTTTCGCTTAGGTCATGATCTCGCAGTTCGTGGGTTCGGGCCCCGCGTCGGGCTCTGTGCTGACTGCCAGCTCAGAGCCTGGAGCCTGTTTCAGTCTGTGACTCCCTCTCTCTCTGACCCTCCCCTGCTCACACTGTCTCTCTCTCTCTCCTAGAAATAAATAAAAACATTAAAAAATTTTTAATTAAAAAAAAAAAATAAATAAAAGAATAAATATCTAGAGGCACCTGGGTGGCTCAGTCAGTTAAGCATCTGACTTCAGCTCAAGTCATGATCTCATGGTTCGTGAGTTTGAGCCCCACATAAAGCTCTGTGCTGACAGCTCAGAGCCTGGAGCCTGCTTCAGATTCTGTGTCTCCTTCTCTCTCTGCCCCCCATCTCCCTCTCACGCTCTGTCTCTCTCAAAAATAAGCATTTAAAAACTTTTTAAATAATAAAAATCTACCTTTTATTGAAGTCCTACCATGTTCAAGGATTGTGTTACATAGCATAGGGGACAAAGATGTAAAAGACTAAGAGATAAAAAGCAAAGTTGTATGCACAGTATATATATGCATATATAACATGCATGTAATAAAGTTGTACATGTAGAGACCTCCTCTTCACAGTGGAAAGAGAACAAACAGCAGTCATGGCAACAAAGCAATAAAAGTAGAAATTAATAACAAGCTCCAAAGGAGACAGCGTCTACTAGGTAAAGTTCTCTTTGATATAACTCAAGGAAATCCAAATACAGCTAGAAAATAATAAGAAAACACTACATATCAGAACCTCTGCTATTCAATCCAAACAGTATTCAGTCTAATTATTTATATCAATAAATGAAGGAAATACAAAAATAAATGTATCCACCTCAAGAATTTAGGATAAGAACCAAGTAAAGAAAGAAATGAATAAAGACAAGAGCAGAAAAGAATAAACTCTAAAGGCAAAAGTATAATTAGAGACAGCAATTAAATTCAAAATCTGGTTATATGGGGAAAAACAATGAAATGCATAAATTGCTAACCCATGCAACCAATAAATAATGGGGAAAATCTATCAAAAAATAAGCCACAGGATCTAGAAAAAAAAAAGAACCATCTTGAACTTGAATGAAGTGAGTAATTAACTAGCAAAACATAAAATTCATCAAAATTGATTCCAGACTATCTACAAATGTTAATGGACCTCCTGAAAGTGAAAATGGATGAGGTTTTAGAAGAGCTGCAACATTAAAAACGCCACAGTGACAAACTGTAATGTTGCACGATCCCAGAGCATATGAAAAGAAGAAAGACTTCTCAATTTTGATACAAAATGGGTTTACAATCAACATCAACACAGCAAAGACTGTGCACAAAAGGGAAAATTACTAACAAGTATCACTTGGGTCCACACAAAGATCCTACCCAAATATTAACACACTGAGTCCAATAGCACAAGGGAACAATAACACACCATGTCTCAGAGGGATTACATACAGGAATGCAAAAAAACTTCAGTATTAGGGATTTTGTTCATATAATTCATCCTATTAATAGATCTGAGGAGAAAAATCCCATGAACATCACCGTAGACGTTGAAAGGGCATTTGAAAATTACAATTTCTAGTATCAGCTTTCTTTAAACTCTTGGTAAAATAGTAATATATATATGTACTTCCTGAACAAAATAGCCCTTATTTACCTTAGTCCCAAGTCCAGCATTAAGCTTCCTATGGAAATCATTCCAACTAAGATCAGAAAAAAGAAATGCCCACTGTCAGCACTGGTACTTAATGCTGTTCTGAGATAGCAGCTAATGCAACTAAATGAGAGGCAAAACCAAAACCAAACCAAACTAAAAAAGAAAGAAAGAAAGAAATACTGCATTAAATTGTAAAAGAGGGAGGGCACCTGCTTCGCTCATTTGGTTGAGCACCCGACTCTTGATTTCAGTTCAGGTCATGACCCAAAGGTCATGGGTTTGAGCCTTGTGTCAGGCTCCACAATGAGTGTGTAGCCTGCTTAAGCTCCCCTCTCTCTCCCTCTTCCCCTCGCCCCTGCTTGCTCACGCACACTCTCTCAAAAACAAAAATTGTTTTAATTAAAATAAATTGTGAAAGAGAATTTAAAATTATCACTGTTTGTGGTTGGTAAGATTCTCTACCCGAAATGCAGGAAAACCAACTAAAAATCTACTACAAATTTTTTTTTAATTCACCAAAGTCATCAGTTACAAAATTAATTCACAGAACTCAAGAGTTTTCACAGGTAAAAAAAAATACACTCATTTACAGTAGCAACAATAACAAAAAAATACCTTAAAATAAACTTAAATTTGCAAGAGCTATATGAAGAAAAATTTTAAGTGCTCCTAAAGAATACAAAGATGTTTCCTCCTCTCATTAGGTTTTCAATCCATCCAAGATTTATTTTTGCTTGAAGTAGGGACCTAATTTTAATGTTTTCTAGATGAATAATTAATATAGGGGTCCCAGAACAAATCAGTCCCCGAACCACACAGATTTGTAATGCCCAAACAATTTTCCCCAGATTGCTCTGTAAATTTAATGCATCAGTAGGAAGCTTTTTTAAACTAGGCAAAGTAATTATGAAGTTCATACATATAAAACGTATCTTCAGAATATTTCTGACAAAGAATAATGAGGGAGGTGAGCCACACCAAAGAAAGCCTCAGTATTTAAAACAGATAAAGGCAGGGGCGCCTGGGTGGCTGAGTCGGTTAAGCGTCCGACTTTTGCTTAGGTCATGATCTCGCGGTTCGTGGGTTCGAGCCCCGCGTCGGGCTCTGTGCTGACTGCCGGCTCAGAGCCTGGAGCCTGTTTCAGTCTGTAATTCCCTCTCTCTCTGACTCTCCCCTGCTCACGCTGTCTCTCTCTCTCTCTGTCCTAGAAATAAATAAAAACATTTAAAAAAAATAAAATAAAACAGATAAAGGCATCACATAAATTGACAAGTGGGTCAACAAAAGCAAGTAGTAAATCCAGACCTAGTGCAACACAGGAGTTGTGTTTAGGATGAGAGTGGCATCTCAAATCAATGCAGAAAAGGTAAACACTTGCTAACCAACCAGAAAAACAATAAAATCAGATCATAACTTATTCTATGTCAGAAATAATTATAAATCAATCAGACATGCATACATTAAAAATAAAACCACTAAGATAATCAAGAAACATGGGAATTTTTTTTTTTTAATAAAAGCTTGGAGGGGGTAAGATGATTCTAACCTGACACAAAATTTCTAGCTTTACAAAAATCTGTCTGATATATTCAAACACATAAAATTCAAAAACTATTCATGGCAAAAGATAATATTACAACAGAAAAACTGGGAAAAGTGTTGCCATATATCATAAAGAGCTAATTTCCTTAATACAGCTACAGAGGTCCTACAAATTGTGAAGAAAGCATTTTTTTAAAAAGCCAACTGAAAATTTTGCAAATGATACAAACAGAAATGGAGAGACAAAATGTATAAAATTTCATATATACGGAGATGCTTAGCATTCCTAGGGTAAGAGAAATGTAGCTGAGGGGCACCTGGGTGGCTTGGTCAGGTAAGCGCCCGACTTTGGCCCAGGTCATGATCTCACAGTTCATGGGTTTGAGCCCCGTGTAGGACTCTGCTGACAGCTCAGAGCCCGCAGCCTGCTTCAGACTCTGTGTCTATCTCTCTGCCCTTCCCCCGCTCATGCTCGCTCTCTCAAAAGTAAATAGACATTAAAATTTTTTTAATACAAATAATTTTAAAAAGAGAAAAATATAGTGGAAACCTATATGGAAATGAGATGTCAGAGAACATAGATCCATACGTTTCACTAAACACTTGCTGGAAAGGTTGTGGGGGAAATAAGCACCATTTACTGAAATTAGAAATGTACATTCCCTTTGACCCAGAATTTCTACCTTGGGGGATTTATCCTGCATAAATGCTCATAAAAGTTGTATACTACTTAGATTTTAATTAAATTTCTTAAATAAATTGTGATACGTCCAAAGTAAGAAATACTATGCAGGTGTAGAATGCATGAGGACACGTGAAAGATTCCTTCCCAATGTATATTGTTAAATGAGACAAGTAATGTACACAAGAGTATATATGTTACTATTTGTGTAAAAATAATGCTATAAGAAAGTATATTTCTATTTGTGTATGTATTAAGTATTTCTGAAAAAGCACAAAATAAACTAATAATAGAAGTTTGTCTTTGGAGAAGAGGATCGGTGACCTGGGGACAAGGATGGAAGAAAACTTCAGAATCTTTTGATTTTTAAACCATATGAACATACTGTCTGTTGAAATATGACACAGATAAAATGATAAGGTATTTCTATAAAAGTATATGCAATACATTTGAAAATAAATATAAAATAGGCAATTCTTCACATAAATATAAATTATCAAACATCACAAGAAAGAAAGGAAATTAAATCAGTAATCAAATATCTGATAGAGCAGCCTGTCCAAACTATTGTATAAGAGATATGCGCAACTTCAAGAACAAGTAACTTGTATTCAATATCAACTATTTTAAAGACTGGAAAAAGAGACAAAACCTCATGTCCTAATTCATTTTATGATGGTAGTATAGCCTTTATACTAAAACTAGACAAAGAGACTGGGAAATTAGAAGTCATCCCTCATGACCTTGTAACATGAGACCACTTAATTAGACTACATGCTTGTGTATTACCATATATGGGAGACAAAGAAGTAAAAAAAAATACATTAAGAAACTATGCCACGTGGCTTTCGGGGCTCAGTTCTTTGGCTACAAACCCAACTGAGCAGAGCCAGCAAAAATAAAGTTACTTCCTGGAAAGAAAAGCCTCGGTGTCACGACCGAGAATCCTGCTACATGTATATTTTTTTAAATGCCTCGTGACCAGGGCACCTGGGTGGCTCAATCAAGCATATAACTCTAGGTTTCATGACTTTGAGCTCCATGTTATGCCATGCGTTGACGGTGCAGAGCCTACTTGGGATTCTCTCTCTCTCCCTCTGTTTCTGCCCCTCCCGTGCTCACACCATCTCTGTCTCTCTCAAAATAAATAAATAAACTTAAAAAAAAAATTTAAATGCCTCATGACCATTAGGATTTAATCCAGATACATTAAAAAACAAATATAAAATATATAAATTATAAAAATAGTTTAAGATCTACGGAAAAAATATGTATATATTTTCAAATATCCACACACATAACACACATACACACGCATTTTAGATTAAGACCTAAGTATGCAAAGCAAATCTTTAAAGCATTTAAAAAATATATATAAATTCCCTTTTTTACTTCAGGAGAGAAAAGAATTTATTGTACCAAAAAAAGAAACAAGGAGAGAGATCATAAAAATGGAAAAAATTGACATTAACACATTTTAACATGTAAAATAAGAAAAGAACATGAAAAAAGTTTTAAGCCAGAAATTAGAAGAATATAGTGGTAACATAAAAGACTGGTTTTCAGAATATACTTTTAAATACATATTAACCAGTGGAAAAAGCAAACAACACTGTAATATAGAAAAATGAGCAATGGATATTAGCAGCCATGTAACAGCAGAGGATGCCCAACACACACATGAAAATCATTCAATGGAACTGTTTATCAAGGAAATGCACATTTTAAAATATACATACAGGGGACGCCTGGCTACCTCAGTCAATTAAGTACCTAACTTCAGCTTGGGTCATGATCGCACAGCTCATGAGTTTGAGCCCCACGTCAGGGTCTGTGTCAGATTCTGTGTCTCCCTCTCTCTCTCTCTGCCCCTCTCCCACTCGCACTCTGTCTCCCTCTCTCAAAAATAAACGTTAAAAATTTTTTTAATTAGGGGCGCCTGGGTGGCTTAGTCGGTTAAGCGTCCGACTTTCGCTTAGGTCATGATCTCGCGGTTCGTGGGTTCGAGCCCCGCGTCGGGCTCTGTGCTGACTGCCAGCTCAGAGCCTGGAGCCTGTTTCAGAGTCTGTGACTCCCTCTCTCTCTGACCCTCCCCTGCTCACGCTGTCTCTCTCTCTCTCTCCTAGAAATAAATAAAACATTAAAAAAAAATTTAAAAAAATACATTTAAAAAAAATTTTTAATTAAAAAAATATATGTGTATATATATACAATTTCTCAATGAATTGGACAAAAGTATGAAGCTACCAACTGTTGGCAAGAATGTAGGGAGCCAGTTTCTCATTTGTTGTTAGAGTATAACAACTTAGCACAAGTGCTTTGAATCATGATTTCAAAATATCTTGTAATGATAAATCCGCACATAGACTCTGACCAGATCATTTCTGGGTATAAGGAGAGAAACACTTGCCCTTGGGTACAAGATGATCTGCACAAGAAAGTTCTTAACAGTGCTGTTCATAATGCTAAGAAGTTAAAAACAATTTGAATGTTTTTTTAATACGTTTTGGTATACTCATAATGAAGTAGTATACAGCAGTTAAAGGACTGTGTTTGATCTTTATGTACCCATGTGAAAAAAAACAGAAATACAATGTTTCATTAAAAATTGGGGCGCCTCAGGGTGCCTGGGTGGCTTAGTCAGTTAAGCGTCTGACTTCAGCTCGGGTCATGATCACATGGTTTGTGGATTCGAGCCCTGTGACAGGCTTTGTGCTGACAGCTAGCTCAGAGCCTGGAGCCTACTTCTGATTCTGTATCTCCCTCTCTCTCTGACCCTCCCCTGCTCACACTGACTCTCTCTCTCTCTCTCTCTCTCTCAGAAATAAAACATTAAAAAAATTTTATAACAAAAATTGGGGCACCTGGGTAGATCAGTCAGTTAACCATCCGATTTCAGCTCAGGTCATGATCTCACAGTTTGTGTGTTCAAGCCCCGCATCTGGCTCTGTGCTGACAGCTCAGAGCCTGGAGCCTATTTCAGATTATGTGTCTTCCTCTCTCTCTTCCTTCCCCTGCTCATGCTCTCCATCTCTCAAAAATAAATAAACGTTAAAAAATTTTTTAAAAATCAACATACATATGATCTCCCTTATGTCAAATGTTAAAACACATAAAATAACACTACAGGTTGTTTATGCACATATATATGATAAAAATATAAGCACATGGACACAATGGGAACACACCCTTCTACTGGAGAGCGGGCAGGGATGAAACAGATGAGGGAAGGGATGGGTTTCAGTTGTATCTGCAGTGTTTTATTTTGTTAAAGAAAGTTATGGCCTAAAGTTGCCATTTGTGATATCTGGGTTATGGGTGGGAGCGGGGGGCGGGGGGGAGGGCGGGAAGGGGCTGTGCAATTAGCTGTTCTAGTCTTTGTAGGGAGGTGAGACCCTGGCTCTGTTGTGACTTCCTCTCAGCTGCAGAAGCTCTCAGTCTGACCCTGCCCAGCCCCTGTGATCTTGCGACCATATGACCTGCGACTAACTTACTTCCTATGGACCTGCTAGAGACCTTGGCTGCTCCAGTTCTGCCTACTGACATCACTTTACAGAAGTCCACCTGCCGCCACCATGCCAGAAGAGCACTGCACTTGCTGCCACGCCCCCTTTCCTCCTAGCCGTGGAAGCCAGGCCTGACCTCCAACCTCCAATCACTGCCCGAGACTGAGTCTGTGTCCTCAAACTCTGTCTATCCCCCTGCTAGGAACTGGACCTTTGCTGTGTCCTGAGCCATTCCTGGCATTGACTTTTTAATTACAGAACTGATTCTTTCTCACTCATATTTCTAGATTTCCTCAACATCCGACAGCGGTACAAAATGACACACACACCTCTTCCCTAGTTTCTAGGTTTGACTCTACATTTGCCCACAGTTCATACTTACCGTCCTTTGGAAACTGCGTGCACTTTTGTTTTGTTTTGACCTAAAAGAGCAGTTTTGATCTGAGTTTGATATTTTGCACCCCCCAATCTTCCTTCTGTTCCCAAAGAACAAAGAAAAAGCAGCACTGTGTATTTTTCTATATTTGTGTTTTTAAGAAGCCTTAGCTAAGCTTATGAAGACAGAGTGTCTATTTTGCTGCCTGAGACACAAAGGCATATAGGCAATTCAAATATAGACTCTTCTGGCAGAATGCACGTGGGAGCGAATGAGCAGTTTCAGTATGGTGGAGTTGAAATCATTTAAGGAACAAAATATTACCAAAATGACAATGAAAGTCCATGAAAAACATGATCTGATACAAATACATCTGCTTTACAGCTTATCAGAAAATGTGCAGTAGAGCTAAAGTTGTAGTAATTTTAGAACGGTAAAGAACAGGAAGAAAAAACTTTCTAGTTGGGTCACATCTTCATCATGCACATCTCTCCAAAATTCTGAAAATATTCACAAGTTATTCATAAATAAACTGAGTTACCTCTTGTCTCAAAATGCGTTCTGCCTGATTTCTGGTAATGTTTCTATGATACCACCTGTAAAGGCAACAAAAACACTTTAAAAATGTTATATTCCATTTTTTTATTACTGAAGAAAAATCCCTTCGTTTCCTTCATTACTAAAAACTTTACTCCAGAACTAATCTTAGGGAGTTGAGTGCTTTTTTTCATTCCAATAAACAACAACATGCTATTATGTGTCATTGATTTAGGGTAATACAGTTCTATTAATTGTAAGCCAAAATCTAATTTATTCTATCATATCTTAATTCCACTTTCTGACACATAGTATATGATTTTGAGTGATTTAATCTCCTGAAAATTTCCATGAAAGGTATATGGTTAAGAAGGTATCATCTTCAATAAACATTTACTGAGCATTGGTAGACAAACTAAAAAATACCCATTTCTTTTTTCGTTCTTGGGAACTTCTATTTGCATGCTTTTATATATGCTGTGTTACCTTTCCTAGATTAAAACTCACTCTGACCCAACTGATCCCCCCTGCTAAGTATGTTAGCTTGTAGTGAAGTTAGTGGTTTAATAACGTAAATGGAACAACTAAGTATGTTGCTCTGTTCCACACACTCTCCTGTTCGCCCCCCCACCCCCCATACTAAGGTTCGGCCACACTGGGATTCTCACTTTCCTCAAATCCACCAAGCCCCTTTCTGCCTCCTGTCTTGCTATTTCCTCTGTATGAGACACTATCATTAAATGTATAAGAACTACTCATAGGAAATATAGTTAAGAAAGAGTATAATTGAAACCTATAGTTTGGTATGACATGACCTAGTCGGTAAGCAAATGTTGTACAGGAAAGAGAGAGGAAATGGTAGAAAAAGTGAGAGAGGGAAAAAATGGAAAAGCTTTCATTTAAAATAAGGTTTTTAAAAAGGAGTTAATGTAATATTACCAGAAATGCTATTTTTGTGGACAGCGGAAGGAAGAATGCATACGTAACCATGCACTGAGTCACAGGGGCGGGGGGCGGGGGGGGGAGGCCAAGTGGTGGCCACATGAAACTGCTATGTCTGACTTTGAGGATGGAGCCCATCATATCATGGGGACTTCCCCTAACCTGCAGTAGTAAAAAGCTACCAATAAATTGGAATGGTCAGGCATAAAACATACTAAGGGCCTCACGTTGAAAATGAACTTTAAAAAAGATGAAGCATAGAGAAGGGAGAATGATAATAGGTGATTGTAGACAAAGTAATTGGACTACTTATCACCAGTGGGAACAAGAGTTAACTGTGATGTGAAACTGTGAATATCATACAGTACTTTTTAATGAATTCAGTATTTTTTAAGGAATTTCAGGATGAGTCTGAGACCTCTTTGTGTAGAAAGAAGAAATTTTCTCAAAATGAATGAGACAGAGTTAAAGACCCAGGGGATGAGTTTAAAGGTGCCCCCACTGACTAATTTGTGAAATTTGGGGCTAAAAGGAAAACAATGATTATCACTCACTAAAATACATTGAGGCTATGAAAAGCCAAGACTTCATAATGATACTCACAAAGGGAAAAGTTTATATAAATTGTTTTTTTCTAAATGTTGCTCACTTGCTATCACATTGGTGTTAATTTTGTTGTTTCATACTTATTTGTTATAGTGATACATGTAAGTGAATATAGTAATTTCGCTTAAATATAAATTAAAAATTCATCCATGTGTGGATGTCATTAGAATGACTTCAAAGAGGGGCACCTGGGTGGCTCAGTTAGTCAAGCGTCTGACTTCAGCTCAGGTCATGACCTTGTGGTTCATGAGTTCAAGCCCCGCATCAGGCTCTGCTGACAGCTGGGTGCCTGGAGCCTGTGTCTCCCTCTCTCTCTGCCCCTCCCCTACTTGCGCAATGTCTCTCTCTCTCTCAGTAATAAAACAAAACGTTAAACAAATTTTAATTTAAAAAAGAATGACTTCAAAGTAGTAACAGAAGAGCCAGATAGAAGTATATGATGAATTTAAGATCCTTTAAAATAATGCAGAATTTTATCAGTCAGAAAAGAGATTAGATGGATGAGACATAGAAGAATATGTCTTCTACCGTGGGGGCACGGTATTTCAGAATTTCATCTGGTTAAATCAGACATTGAAAGAAGAGTTCTGTGGGGTGTTTTAATAGGTAAGGCTGCAACTCTTATATCTAGACAACGCTGATTGTAAAACTCAACCGGAATGATGTGGACAGTGGGCTTGGGGTAGAGCTTTTACCAACATACAAAAAACATCCAAAAATAAAAAAAGAAAAGCCATCCAGCATGTCCTACTGTTGCTGAGTACAAACATCTCATATACACATAAGCTTCAGGTACCCCGTTCCAATCTCTGAATCAACAAATAACAATGTTGTGGTCTTGAGTTTCCAACCTAAAAACCCTATTAGACCTAAGAAGGCAAAGCTGCTTCTCTTAGTGATTTTCTAGCCCTGAGAAGATTAAGCATTCCGTAGAAAGATAATGAAATAAATCAGACTTATACTTCTGTAAAATTCAGAATAAGCAATATGCTTGATATTTATTTATTTTAATTTTAAAAATTTGTAATGTTTTATTTACTTTTGAGAGAGAGAGAGAGAGGCAGTGTGAGCAGGGGACAGTCAGAGAGAGAGGGAGACACAGAATTCAAAACAGGCTCCAGGCTCTGAGCTGGCTGTCAGCACAGAGCTCGACGCGGGGCTCGAACCCACAAACCGTGAGATCATGACCTGAGCCGAAGTTGGACTCTTAACCAACTGAGCCACCCAGGTGCCCCACAATATGCTTGATTTTTAAAGATTCTACCATTTTAAGGGGTGCCTGGGTGGTTAAGTCAGTTAAGCCTCTGACTCTTGATTTCAGCTCAGGTCATGATCTCATGGTTCATGAGTACGAGCCCCATGTTGTCGGGCTCTGCACCGATAGCCCAGAGCCTGCTTAGGAATCTCTCTCTCCCTCTCTCTCTGCCCCTCCTCTGATCACACGCAGATGCCCACATGCACGCGCACTCTCCCTCTCTCTCAAAGCAAATAAATAATCATTAAAAAATTTAAAATAGCTATAATTTTAAGTGAATCTCACATAGTAGGTTTTTGCCTCTGGTTTCAAATGCGTAATTAATTTTTAACTTACAATTTGAAATTTACGCAAATTTGACTTTTTAAAATGATGTTTGTACGGGTAACAGAACTTGGCTTACCACATTTAAGTTTAATTTCTTAGACTTCCAGGGTCATATGTGGACTTACAAAGGGCTACTAAAAATTGCAAATTTGCCCTGTCAGGCATGTACAATGTTTAAACAGAAAATTGGATTTATTCAGTCTAGTAATGCAAGTGAAATGTTTCAGGAAATTTCATTAACTGAGCTTATAAAAGAGCTGCTTGTTTAAGGACACTGTGTGTCGAGTTTGAATTACTCCTTTAGATCTGTAAACAATATATCAAGATTTGCAAGTTAAATTTGAAGGCTTACTGAAAACCAGGTTTTCACATTGTAATGTTGATAGTTTGGATATTAAGTTAAAACCAAAGCAGCCATAAATATTTCAGAGTATAAAGATTCCCGAGACGTCAAAGGCCCACACAAACAGAAGCATTCCTTCCCCCCTCCAGCCCTGAGGACTTCCTCCTACCTTTAGACCTCAAGTCACTTCCTTATGAGGTCTTCCCAACCCCACGCTCTCATCTAAATTATATCCCCTTTACCACTGATTTGTCCCAGTGTCCATACTGTTCCTTCCAAAGGCCAAAATTTGAAATTTTATACTTGTGAATCTGAGGTTGGGTAATGTCTACTCCCCCCCATAAAACTGTAGGTTCTGTGAACAGGGACTGCTTCTACGCCTTCCATGTTGTATCTCCAGGGCCTAGAGCAGCTAACGTCTGGTACATCAGAAGTGTACAGTCAGTAAAGATTGAATAGGGTGAAGTGACTCAGTGCCTAAAGTAACGATGAAATGTAGTACATCTCTGAGAGCAGGCAACCTAAAATTCTCTTCCTGTTAGCTTCAGAGTTCCAGAATGTATCAAGTATTTACTATGTCCTATATGAGATAGGTATTATGGTTCTCAGTTTTCATAGCATGTAGAGGTTTACAGACGTTCGGTAACTTTGCCCAGAGGCCAAGCATTAGTCAGAGGTGCTGTCGGGATTTGAACCCAGATTTCTCCAGTTTCTTTCATTTTTTAAAGATTTATTCATTTTTGAGAGAGAGAGAGAGCAGGGTGGGCAGGGGCAGAGAGAGAGAGGGAGACACAGAATCTGAAGCAAGCTCCAGGCTCTGAGCTGTCAGCACAGAGCCCAGCCTAATGCCAGCCTCGAACCTACACACTGGGAGATCATGACCTGAGCTGAAGCTGGACACTCAACAGACTGGGCCTCCCAGGTGCCCCATAGATTTCTCCAGTTTCAAAGCCCACAGCACACTATTTCCAACTAAAGCAGTAATCTCTACACAGTTATTAGAACAGTGCTTGGCATTTAGTAAGTGGTTGATATATTTTAATGATTTATATTGATAATTACTATATCTATATGTTAATAAACTCCTTTAAAAAGAAACAGGAACAATTAATTTTCTCACAATTGGAGTAATTAAAGAACATGACTTTTAAAGACATATAAATCAAAGCCAAGAAAATGAGATGACTATTGTAAGTTCAGAGCAGTTTAATTCAAATTACCCAATATCTACAGTATAAATAAGCTACAGGCTCCAAACCTTGGCTTAACGAGGGAAGTAGCAAGCAAATTTGTCAATCATGAAAGGAGGGAAAGACACATTGTTGGTTAGTGAGTGTCCATTCACTAACTACCAGGCACTGTGTTAGGTACCTTCACATATAACTCCTTTAATCTCCTGGAAGTTCTGAACTGGGTTTACGGTATAGAAGGAAAATCTTCTTTTTCTAATTTTTCTTAATAGGACATTTTCGAAAAGAACTTCCCCTGACCTGGCATTCCAGGAGACTACGATGTTGGGCAGCTCCCACTAGGGGCAGTGGTGAGCCCCCTGAGGGGTAGGCTGGACCGATGGTAGCTTATAGTGGAATTGTGTTCTTAGGACAGGGTGTTCAGCCACCTGAGGGCTTTATCCTATCGAGTGGAGACTCGAATTTCCCGGTAGAGCTAAATGACTTGGGTCAAGAGAGGGGGCATGACAAGCTGAGTGAAGGAAGGAGAAGAGAGATCTGTGATGGCAGTAAGGAGGGTGACTTGGGAGAGAGAATACAAGTAGCTAATGGAGAAGCCTGGTAAAGTCACGTGGATGAGTCATGTGTCCTGTGGTCATCCCTTTCTCCCCTCTAATGAAGTCTACATTATTCACCAATGCTTTCAGAACTGGATCTGCTTGGGGTGCCTGGGTGGCTCAGTTGGTTAAGCGTCCGATTTTGGCTCAGGTCATGATCTCACGGTTCGTGGGTTCGAGTCCCCCGACAGGCTCTGTGCTGACAGCTAGCTTGGAGCCTGCTTCTGATTCTGTGTCTCTTTCTCTCTCTCACCCTCCCCTACTCATGCTGTCTCTCTCTCTCTCAGAAATAAATAAAACATTAAAGATTTTTTTTAAAAGAATTGGATTTGCTTTAGGGGAGAGATATACTGAGTCTGGCCTCCAGGTGGACTTAAGTTAGTAACAAGGCAGACACCTGGGGGCTGGGGCGGGGGCTGGGGCAGGGGCTGTCATTCAATTTCTATTTGCTGTGGGGTTCTCGGAGAAGCACCGGTCTCAAAGTCTCAACTCACATCACCTACCGCCACCTGCTGGAAGTATGTGCTAATTACAAAGCCAGTATCTAGGTTGCACGGAGGGCAATCAAAGGCGAAAACTGCAAACCTGAATTTATAAAAGACCAGCACTGCTCCCAGCCCGCTACACCCTTCCTGTAAATTACTTTTGCAGCCTCAGTTTCTGATCTGCAGAATGAGGGGCTAGAAAAGTGACTCCTAAAACCTCCATCTTCCAAATGTATCATTATAACAAAACTAGATTTCTAAGCAGAACCCTAGGGAACAAGCCAAAAGCTACCCGCAAACTGCAGATTAGCCTACTTCTCATCTTCAGCTATTTCTACAGCGTTTCCCAACACGAGCCAAAATGTAGTGGTGTGTCTTTACATTGGTTCCGTTTACCACACATTAAACAATCAACGTCATTTTTGAGATAATTATTTTTCCATTTAGGACATATAATAACAAGATGAGGGCTTCATTTCCAGGCTGTCACTGTTAAAACAAACCAAAAAAAGTGGCCATACAAAACAAAACCAAAAAAGAAGTTGAAGAAAAATGAGTTTCTGAATCAACCATTAAAAGGATTGAAGATTGGGGCACCTGGGTGGCTCAGTTGGTTAAGCGTCCAACCTCGGCTCAGGTCATGATCTCAAGGTTGCACTGGGCTCTGTGCTGACAGCTCAGAGGCTGGAGCCTGCTTTGGATTCTATGTTTCAGTCTCTCTCTGTCCCTCCCCCACTCACGCTCTGTCTCTCTCAAAAATGAATAAACGTTTAAAAAAAGCACTAAAAAAAAAAAAAAAAGGATCGAAGATCTCTCAAGCTAAAAGCAACCAGATGTATTACTTTCTTTTCCTTTTCTAGACCAAAATCAGCATCGATACTCGTAAGCAGCCCAAAGGTATCTGATTTTCATAGATTAACCATAGAGCATATTTTGGAGGAGACTTACTCATATATTTCTAAATTGGTTGGTTTGTTTTCAGTCACATAGTTGCTTGGGATTAAGCCTTCATTCCTACAACAAAAGACAAAGCAACCATCAAAATGCTTGTCATTTTTGTGGCATTATGTGACAACAGTCTTTTTAAAACCTCACGGACATAGGGGGAAATCAAACTTGTTTTACTGATTAAATTGCTAAATGAAAAAGAAAGGGTTTTCATGTCCACATTCAACCAAAATCTCTGTGTGATAAATACTACGATTCTGACTTATAATGTAAGTAGTTTCAGATGTTTTATGACACCAGAATTCTTCAAAGAGGAAAAGTGGTACTTACGTGATCACTGGGATGTCACAGTGACTCAATTTAAAACACAGCAATCACAAAGATATCGACATAATTCTTTTTAATTGCTGCAGGATAGATTGAATGGATATTCCAGTTAAGCCATGTTCCTATTCCAGCAAAGATGCACAGAAATACACACACATGCCTTCTTGTGCACAGGGAAAAGTATTTGTCTAAGACAGATGGCAAGAAGGGAAATTGCTCAGTCACCAAGTACGTGCATCTCCCAGAAGATACAGCAAATCGCCGTTGAAGGAAAATAAACCAATTTACACACCCATCAGGGGGGCACGGGTTTCTCTTTTTCTATACCTTCACCAACAAAATTTGAAGTTATGAAATTACAAAAAGATCTCCATGACATTATTGAGAATACAAGCAAGGTGTAAAACAACGAATAAAGCAGGGTAAGGAATTAGGTTAACTAAGTCTGCAAACAATAACATATATTCAATATGTGCATGAAAGTATAATGAAAGGCTTCTAGAAGGAGACTCACTGAGTTAATAATGGTGCTTGGGTTAGGGGGTGAGGCAAAGCAGGGATTTGGCATTCTTTATCATGGCTGCATATTATAAAAAATGATATTTACTTTTTAAGTCTGAAATTAAAAATTAATTTTTTTTTTTTTAGGTCTGAGTCATACCAATGTCCACCTGCTGGAGGGTTAATTACACCGTCCTGAACCTACTCATACCTTTTTGCCCACAGAAAAGTCTCTATCACATGTTGAGTCTAAACTAAAAACTGGTGGGGCACCTGGGTGGCTCAGTCAAGTTAAGCGTCCGACTTCAGCTCAGGTCATGATCTCACAGTTAGTGGGTTCAAGCCCCATGTCGGGCTCTGTGCTGACAGCTAGCTCAGAGCCTGGAGCCTGCTTCAGATTCTATGTCTCCCTCTCTCTCTGAACCTCCCCTGCTCATGCTGTCTCTCTCTCTCTCTCTCTCTTTCAGAAAGAAATAAAAAAACATTAAGAAAATTAAACTAAAAATTGGTAAGAGAGCCAAATTATCAGGAAAATACAATTAAGTGAAGAGGTATATAATATAGATACTTCTAATACTTATATACATATGGTCTCTAAATCCTGACAAAGAATAGAGGTCAAAGTCAGCATTCTCTCCCAGGCAGCCCAGAGACCCCTCAGAATTGGGTACCTCACACTCCAGTCAGGCATGGATAATCTATGTACCCCCATGTTCACTGCAGCATTATGTACAATAGCCAAGATATCAAAACAACCTAAGTGTCCATTGATGGATGAATGGATAAAAGAAAGAATATTTTTGGTCAAAACAGGAGAAAATCTTGCTATTTGCAATAAAATGATGGATCTCAAGGGCATTGTGCTAGGGAATAAGTCAGGTGGAGAAAGGCAAATACTATATAATTTCACTTATATGTTGCATCTAAAAAAATTTTTTTTAATTAAAAAAAAACAAGCTCATAGATACAGAGAACGGACTGGTGGTTGCCAGAGACAGGGAGGAGGAGGTGGGTGAAATAGGTGAACGGGGTCAAAAGATACAAGTTTCAGTTATAAGGTAAATAAGTCATGGGATGATTAAACCCCATAGTGACTATAGTTAATAATACTATGTCGCATCTTTGAAAGTTGCTAACAGAGTAAATCTTAAAAGTTCTCATCACAAGAAAAACATTTTTGTAACTATGCATGGTGACATATGCGATCATTTACACATATTGTGATCATTGCACAAATATATGTTGAATTATTATGCTGCATACCTAAAACCAATATAATGTTATATGCCAAGGATATCTTTTTTTTAACATTTATTTTTGAGAGACAGAGAGTGAGCAGGGGAGGGCAGAGAAAGAGGGAGACAGAGGATCCAAAGCAGGCTCCAGGCTCTGAGCTGTCAGCCTAGAGCCCGACACGGGGCTCGAACTCACAAACCGTGAGATCATGATCTGAGCCAAAGTCGGCCACTTAACCGACTGAGCCACCCAGGCGCCCCTAATGATATCTTAATAATAATCGTTAAAAAAAGGTAAGGAAAGAAAACTCAGAAAGGGAAACTCAGAGAGCATAAGTGGCTTGCCAAAGGACACACAATAGTAAGTGACAGCGTCCGGATGTGAAGCCAGGTATATGCACTGCTGTGACTGCCTGAAATCCAAGTGCTCTAATGCTCTCTCATACAGATAAGAGGTGTGGGGCCATGTTCTACTTCATGCAGAAGGAAATAAACCTAAATAAAAGGAGCCATAGTGTTTATATTTCAGGAGTCTTCAGAGAATAAAAGAAGAATTTGATAAGGACCATGGCATCACTCTTACCCTAAACAGTCTCTTGCCTTCCACCAGTGAGGATTATACTTCTCCAATATCACGTATTCCTCTGCTCGCTTTAGTGCCAAATCACACGGCTCTCTGGGCACAAAATCATACAGTGCTTTTACTTGGATCTTCTCTTCAGTAACCTCAGAGGGTGGGAGGGGAGGCAGTGGCTTGCGTTTTGATGGCTGCACGTGGCCTCTGTTGGACTGCAAAAACCAAGGAGTGATTTGCTGTACTCTTGTTTTAGCAATGTGTACTAAAAAAGAATAGAGATACAACCCTTTGGCGTGCTGCCCCAATTCTCCTATCCGGTTGCACCAAAGCAAAAGCCAGGGTGGTGTAAACATAGGAAATGACTATCAAACAACTTTTAAATCCAGAAACACATTCGCCCTTCTGTAAATTTTCAAGATCACAAATTCTCTTGACAGAATTGTGCTGGATGTTTCTCTCTCTCTCTCTCACTTTTTAAATTAGCTCTATGCTCAAAATGGGGCTCGAGTTCACGACTCTGAGATTAAGAGTTACGTGCCCTGTGGACTGAACCAGCCAAGTGCCTCCGGATATTTCTTAAGCCACAATTCTTAAAATTTGAATTCTACCCCAATAGTTTCACTTCATTTTATGGGTTTTTTCCTTCTTGAAAAATAAAGAAAAGAAAAACAGCCCTTCCCTTTCACACACCATCAGCTTGTGTTTGGATTTATGACACGTCTTAAGAACACTATTTTCTCTAACACCGAACTGAAAATTAATCCTGGGTTCACAAAGGGCAAGAGCCAGAACACATTTCCCCCCATTCACTGTCCAGTTTCAAGCTCTACCCAAACATAGCAGCGTTGGCTATTTTAACTGGTCTTTTTCTCTTGTGCTTTCTTCTAAGACATTCACTCACTAAGCATTTATCGCACACTTGTTATGTGCCGAGCATGATTCTGAGCGCAGCAGCAAACACTGTCTTGAGGCGAACAGACCCTAAAATGCAAGCTTCCTCAGTTCTTTCTCCCTCAGCAAGATGATACTCACTCGCTTCTTACTTGGCAATTCGCTGAACCATAGCCTGCGACGCTGAGTGTATCTTTCTGAAAATTCTTCATCTTTGCTTAGGCTTATTTGTGTTCTTACGTGTCTGAGATTGAAAAACAACCATAATTACAAATGATTATCTGCATTCAGGTGATATCCGCTGACTTCACTAGATTGTTCTCAAAATTAGTAGGAAACTCCAGGTCTTTTTCCAACCTCCTTCTTACTTAGAAGACTTCCTAACTTCATTTCCATGGGTCAGTCACTACCTCTCAGAACTGCGTTTTCCTTATTGAGGAGCTAGAGATGCTAAGGGCATATAGAGTTGCTATAGAATAAAAGTGAAGAATGCAGAGCCTGGTGCATATTAAGGGCATAAAAAGATAATCATGATAACGAAAAACTTACTCTGCATCAGGCACAGTGTTTATCATTTGACATGCATTACTTCATTTGATGGTATCCATTGTTATAAATAGACACGGTGTCATGATTAAGAACCGGAGTTTGAATACCAGCTCTACCATTTCATAGTGTGACTTGAGGAAGCAACAGAATCTCTCTAAGCCTCAACCCCTCATCTGTAACATGGAGATGGTAAAAACTATAGGTGTTTTTGAAAGACACTTGAGCTAATAAATGCAAACCTCTTAGCACAGTCTGACATAGAGGACCTCCCATTAAATGCTAGCTATTACTATTATCAAGCTACTTTGGATTTATTCTATACAATAAATACAGAGAGTCAAAATTTTGCTGGGCATCAAAGTGCAAGACACGCTGATCATTTGGGGGAGATATTCAAATAAATAAGGCAGGATTCTTGCCCTTAATGTGTAAAAATTACATAGTGGAACACAGGTATGTAAACGGCATACACACAAATAAATATTAAGTAGAGAACCAAGACACAGGCTGTAGGAATGCAATGGAAGGAACAATTAAAGTCAAAGGGATCCAGGATGTATCATGGAAGAGCTGAAATTTGACTTACGCCTTTAAATCAGTGGGCACTCAATGGGGAGGAAACGGTAGAAGGGTTTCCCAGGCAAAGGGAACAGCAGATACAAAGAGACACGGAGACTTAATAGACAGTAAAGAAACAGAATGAGGGGCGCCTGGGTGGCTCAGTCGGTTAAGCGTCCGACTTTCGCTTGGGTCATGATCTCGCGGTTCGTGGGTTCGAGCCCCACGTCGGGCTCTGTGCTGACTGCCAGCTCAGAGCCTGGAGCCTGTTTCAGAGTCTGTGACCCCCTCTCTCTCTGACCCTCCCCTGCTCACGCTCTCTCTCTCTCTCTCTCTCCTAGAAATAAAACATTAAAAAAAATTTTTTTTAAAAGAAAAGAAAAAGGAACAGAATGAATTAATTTCCAAGAAGTTGCCCCTAGAAGTAGACTTACCGCTTCTGCACGGAACAGCAGCAACAGCAGCAGAAAATCGACTGGATGGTATTATCTGAAAAGCACATCATTGTGAGAGAGCCGTTAGTCCATGACATTGGATAGATGAGGCTGGTGGAGGAAATTTTCGAGGGCAGGAGGGATATAAATTATTATAAAGCATATGCTAGGTCTTGACTATGCCCTTCTTTACTAGTGGAAGGATGAGAAACTGTCACTAAAGCAAAAAGAAGTTACTGGCATCCTGGCCAGTGTGGTTTCCCTTCTCAGGCTCTTCTCCCCAGTCTGGTTTGTGCATTTCCTCAGTCTGTGAATGATAAGTGACCACTGTATTCTACTTTACCTTGATCAGGGCTAATGACAGCTAATAAGTGTAAAAAAGAACATGATTCAAAAAGCAATGTTCTCCTAGAAAATGTTAGCAGGGATTTTCAATCAGATCCATCACATTTCTTTTAAAACTATTTTAATATTTTATTATTTAATATTTTATGTCCATTGAACCTATTTCCCAGTCATCCCTTTCTCATATTAACACCTGAAAATGAAGCATTAAGGAGCAGAGTATGTCAGACATGAGTTTTGAGGTTAGACAGACCTGGGTTTGAACCTTCACCATGGGGCTGCTTTTATCTGGGATGAGTTCTTTTATTTACTCTTCCAAGTCTTTGCTTTCCTGTCTGCAAAACCAAGGTAATCATACCTTACACCTTAGAGAAGGCTTACAAAGCAGAAGTTAATCTCTAACTTTGCGGGCTTGGGGAAGTTACTAAACTGTTTTTTAAGTTTCCTCATCTGCAAGATGGGAGTAATAGACACTTAGTATGAAAGAGTACTGTGAGGGTTAACTGAATCAATTCATGGAAAGCACCTAGAACAATGCCAGGTATATAGGAAGAGGGTAATCGAGAAGAGCTATTATTACTATAGGGTTGTTGAGAAGATTAAATTAGCCATCATCCTGGGAAATTAGATGAGGGGTTCAAACAGAAGATACCCAGTACAGTCCACCCCTCAGCATCTGGTCTGTCCCCCCAGAGCAGGGGATGCAATGGAGTCCCATCAGTCAGCATGTTATCACCAGGTGATATCAGTGTGGTCATACTTCCACCTGAAACTTTGTAAATTAACCATTAGGATTCTTTTTTATAATTTGTTTAATGTTTGTTTTTGAGAGAGAGACAGAGACAGAGCATGGGTGAGAAGGGGCAGAGAGAGGGAGGCATAGTATCCGAAGCAGGCTCCAGGCTCTGAGTTGTCAGCCCAGAGCCCAACGTGGGACTCAAACTCACAAACTGTGAGATTATGACCTGAGCTAAAGCTGGAGACTTAACCAACTGAGCCACCCAGGCGCCCCAACCATTAGGATTCTTTAAGTAAGGTAGGGAAGGAAATAAGGAGAGAAGAAGAGTAGCATAAAACATAGCTGCTACAATTCCCACGACTAGAGCTGTGCTGTCCTAAGTTGATCACAGATATGCTCTATCACCACCCATCCTATGTTTCCCTTTGCCTCAGTCAACACTTGGGCTGAAAAAGGTGCTTTATCTAATGAAATAACCCAAATGTTCATTCCTGTGGGATCTGGGTCCTTAGCTGGTCTTGTCTCTATAGGCTGTTATAATTTTCCACTGACCAGGACCATTATGAATATTGGGAAATAACGCTAGTAAATTCCTTGGGTTTTGAAGTCCTCTTTGTCTTCTCTGTGAAGAATCAATCCAACTTCTTCCTGGTAATCAGGATACTCATCTCAGCTACATTGACCCCTTGCTGTGCCTATGGATTCAGTGACACAAGGAATCCAAAAATGCCAGAGGGCAGTCTCAACTTCTGGTGTTCCCTAAGAAGGAGATTCTTCTCTTGGGCACTGAAATCTCCAAACCCACCAAACTCAAGATCACAGGTAAAGAACAATATGCCAGTGGGTTATTAGGTAAAATGGTGAAAAAGGCCACTCCAAACTCCACTCCTTAGTTCCCCAACTTATGCATCCTGGCTACACATTTGTTGTGGTTTAAGACATTTATCTATAGGATACCACTCCAACACTGTAAGTTGTTATCTTCCCGATGTCAGAGTAACAGACCCTTTAGCAGGCTATTTCTCTGGTTAAGCCAGGTGCTTCTGAATCATGGGACATGATGCTTAAGAATATTCAGGGGCGCCTGGGTGGCTCAGTCAGTTGAGCATCTGACTTCAGCTCAGGTCGCGATCTTAGTTTGTGAGTTCGAGCCCCACGTCGGACTCTGTGCTGACAGCTCAGAGCCTGGAGCCTGCTTTGGATTCTGTGTGTGTGTGTGTGTGTGTCTCTCTGACCCTCCCCCACTCATGCTCTGTCTCTCTATCTCTCCTTCCCTCTCAAAAATAAACATTAAAATAAAAAAAAAAAGAATATTCGGAGAACCGCTGAACAAACACAAACAAAACTGAGAAAAGGCAGCAGAGTATGTTAGACGTGGATCATTTTGTGGACCTCTGATTTTATCTTTCCATTCTGTCCTCATTCCAAGAGTTTCAACCATAATCCTCTCCCCCAGATCTTGTCACAAATCTCCTGACCTTGTTCTTTCCGTGTTCCTGACTAGCAGGCCAACTTTTTTTGCACTGCCCATTAGGTATTGCAGATCAATATCTCATACTATCTCTTCCTAATGAAGGAAGCAAACTGATGCACTTTTTGGCATGCTGGGAGGATTTTATTTCAGCGCTTTCTTTCGGGAGTCCTCTGAACGTGGCTATAGCACAATGGCTGTATATTTTCCCTTCCATATATGCTTAGGATGCGGATCAATCTAGAAATCAGGTTTGATGAGGACCTCCTCCAGAGGCCCCTCATGTGACTGAAGGAGAAGCAGAAAGAACAGGCACCATGTACATATAAGGCATCTGCTCCTGAAGCTATCTTGAGCCTTCTAGATCTACTGGGGCCTACTTACAAATAAACCACTTCCACATTAAGATGAATTACTGCTATTCATACCTAACTTTATGGTTCAATGTATCAGGTAACACTGAGCTCATGATAGGCAGTTTGAATCACCTAAATATTTCATGATCCATGGTTGACCGTTTAGTCTTCACTAGGAGCACACTACTAGCTATTTTCTTTTTTTAAAAAAATTTTTTAATGTTTATTTTTGAGAGAGAGACAGTGCGAGGAGGAGGGGCAGAGAGAAAGGGAGACACAGAATTGGAAGCAGGCTCCAGGCTCCGAGCTGTCAGCACAGAGCCTGACACGGGGCTCAAACCTATAGACCGTGAGATCATGACCGGAGCTGAAGTCGGAAGCTCAACTGACTGGAGCCACCCAGGCTCCCCTGGCCAGCAGCTATTTTCAAACTAAAAATAATTATCAGCACAGTGTTAAGGCATCACTCCAAATTCCTGGGGGGTTGTGCTGATTTTTATCCTGAGACTTTAGAGAAGCTCCACGCAGCTAGCATTTTGCACTCCATTCCAGGCTCCTGCCGATGAGAATAAAAGGAATTGATAATTGAGTTATTTCCCCCAGCAATAAAGCTATCCTTGGGCCTCTAAATAGATGACCAAATAAATCTCAGATCCAATTTTGACTCTTTCCTGGAGCCACTTCTCATACTCATTACTGTAGCAGTCAGGGATCCAATATGAAACATGACATTTTAAAAGCAGAATAATTTTAAAAGTGTTCATTGACAAAGTCACCAATTACAAAGGTGTGGATGGGGGTCAGGGAACCACAAAGGATGTACAGGAAACAGGGTCCAACAGTACTGGAACTGTCACCAGCCCTAGGTCCAAAAGGACCAGAAAAGTGAGAGAGATTTAAGGACAGCAGAGACCTCTTTGATTGGAACAGTGATCTGCTGTTGAGGGACATAGCCAGCTCAAAGCAACCTCACCACAACTTCCTTCCAGGGCTCCTCATTTGTGTAATCCAGCCAGAAGCTGGGGCTTAAAAGCATATTGATCCAACTACTACAGATTACATTTCCAGGATAGAGTACAAGGTGAAGAATGAACACCAAGAGGGTGGGCTCCCTGAGCCATCATGGAAGCTGGCCACCATATTTAATCCCTATAGCTCATCCCTCCAGGGTAATTAGGTGGATAAGAATAAGGATATTCAGTACAGTAATAGGTATATTTTAGCTCCCTTTCCTTTCATAGAATTTGACCTTCCAAACCTAGATTCATGCATTCGTGTTTGCCTTTCACTGATTGGGACATTACCATTGCTCAGTCTTTGGGTCCCTGGCACTTTGGTGGTCTAGTGGTAACCATCTCATTTCACCATGGACACATAGTTCCAGTCCAAGCCCAGGCAAAAACTCATCTTTGTTCTCACTATTTTATCCCTTACTCCCAATTTAATAACTTTCTTTCTTCCTTTGCCTGTACCCAGAAACCATCCATTTTCCAAGGACCATTCCAACGTTCACTTCTAGACACTAAAATAAAATAAATTACTGAGTCCCCCAAATCTGCATTATATTGTGTATTAATAGGTTTTCGGATCTCAATTGCTTCTAACTGTCAATTTTCTGGTAGTGTCTGCATGAACAAATGGTCAAAAACACTCCTATGAAAAAAGTACATTAGCACATGGGGGTGGTCTGTCTGTCTGCTGGCAGAACTAGGTCTAATTTACATTCTTGACAATTGATTCTAATGTTGTTTAGAGCCCCATATAGATCTATATCTATCCAGGCCAAGAGATGAAAAATCAAATGTAGGTCATACAAATAAATGAATAGGTCAGAGTATGGTTTAGAAAGTGGCAAAAACTGTGGTCCCCTGTGGAGGTATTCAGATTCAAAAATTTTTAAATGCTCCTTCCCTCTCCTGCCTCACCATTTTCCCCTCTCCATTGGATCACTGTTATTAGCATATGAATATACTGTTACTTTCCCCATTAAAAACAAAAGAAACTACGCTTGATCTTATTTCCTTGATCAGCTTTGGTCCCCATTTACAATATAATCTAGAAATGAGTAGTCTTTACTTGTTGCTTTCAATTCTTCTCTCATTTTCTCTCAACCCATTCCAACCAAGCTTTTGTCCCAACCACTT